TCCGTCATACTGCACCAGAAACAAAAAACATTCATAGATTAAAGTATGCAATGCTAACAAATAGGAAAGCATTGAACCCTAAAGATCATGTACTTACTTGGTTGCCAAGCCTTCAATATTTCCTCCATCTCCAATGGTAATGTACACCGGCGCAGATTGATCTTTCACCACCGGAGAGCACTTTCCATTTTCAATGTTATAGGCAATATTCGATACACGTTCCTGTGATACACACAAATTGCTTATCAGAAAAAGGAAGATGAATACAGTTTTCTTGATATCAGCATTTCAGTCAAACACTTCTCCTCAAAAGGGTTTCCTGTACTAATTTGTCAAACATTAAAGCGTTCCATAAAAGGGATTGATCTGTTTCAAAAAGTTTCTTTTGAGCACTTACAGATCGTTCATAGGCATGGACATGACCAGCAAAGACTACGTCAACCTTGTGCTGCACAAACCACGACTCAAACATGACTCTCATGCTCTCTCCTTCCATGTAATGATAGTTGTAGCTGTTGTACCATGGGGAATGCAGTAAGACAATCAACCATGGTGTCTCACTCCTGTTAACTTTTGGTAGCTCCTGCTCAAGCCATTGGTACTGAGGAGTGTATTTACCTTGAGAACAAGGAAATGATATGTTAAATAAGACTTTTGCAGCAGCCAATTTAACAAAGACATTAATGTACAGAAGATTTCACTAACAAGTTAGAATTGATTGGATGTTACATGGACAGAAGAAGTTTCAGCTCAATTTTCAGGATAATTTGGAAGCAAAAAGTCTCCATTCATTTAAAACAAAGTCATTAGAAAATATGACAAGGATATCATTTCCATACGATGTGAAAGTAATTTATATGATGTAATCTGCAGAGATGAACAAAGTTTGATTTGTAGTATAACAATATCTCACATGCCATGAAAGCAACAACTTGAGTGGGGGAAAGCAGAAATAGGAGTTGATTTAACAAATGCAGCAAGTATCTAGTTATGTCATCGCCAAATTACTTCACTGACGGAATTTTAACAAATTTGCAGATGCCAAGTTAACATATTAGACAGTCAGAAAAGAGCATGTTTTACATTCCTAGAATTTTCATATCGTATGTTGCATATATGTGTTGGTGCCTTGAGAGCCAGTCATGTAAATATAGTAGGAAAAAAAAAGTACCATAAGCTGTATATGAAGACAAGACTATGATGTATGCTGAAGCTCTCTTGATTGAGTAAAAAAAAGGGGCAGGGCTCCCTGATGCTCTGTGTGGGACATTATAGCGGTGAGTGTACGGCTTGAAAGGTTTGTATTCACCCTGCAACAAAAAGTATCAATCTTCTCTTAGAAAACACTTTTCCAATGACATTTTGGAACTAGAATTCACCTCTCTAAATATGGAAAATGAGAGCTTAAGATTAGCTATGAAATGCTTACTATTTCTGGGGCATAATCAATCTCATGGTTCCCTGCCGTCCAAATCCAAGGTTGATAAGCAGCACTTCTCTCAATGAATCTTCCAAATGTATCCCACTTAACATTGTCATGATTGGGATGATCATCAGCATAAGAGAGGTCTCCAAGGTTCAAAACTGTTTGTCCCTTAAGTGGGTTTTCTTCATAGTGAGTAAGTGTCAAGTTTGAATCAAAGGTTTGGCCCAAATCCCCTGCAAATGAGAGCCAAATGGCAAGTCAAATTTACAAGTAATCAAATAGCCAAATTTTCCTTGTAAATGAAATCAAAAGCATGAAATTACTTTTGGATCACAATGCTAAAAGTTACTGTTCTGTTTTGGTTATAAAAAAAATACTTAAATACTTACCCATGAGACCAAATGTGTAAGGGACATCTGGCCCAACTTCAGGAGGAGTTACAAACCAGAACAGCCTCACAGTGTGCCCAATTCCAACCACATAGTAATATTTGGTATTGTACTGCCCAAAATAATATATTATTAATTCATAATTTCAGTCAGCAAATTATTTATAGAACAAAAAGAACAAAGAAAAAGAGGAAAACCAGAAAGGCAGATTGAAATTTACCTCTAAGTTTCTGATCGTACAGTGGTGAATGTAACCAGAAGTGTAATCATGGTATGTATATGTTTTAGCTTTGCCCTCAGCCATCCTTTTCTTTTGACCTTCACTCCAGAAAAGCACTTTGCTGGAGCCTTTTTCATCCACAGTGACCCATGACACAATCATGGCCTTTCCCTTGTGGTCACCTTGTGTTATATGAACCTTAGATCAAGAACACACACATATCGTACAATCAAACGAAGTTAAGCTAACAAAATCATCAAGAAGAAAAGCAAAAGTGTGAAGCAAGCCATAAATCTTGAAAAACAAGACCACATAAAAATATGAAGGTTCAAGTAAATAAAAGGTCTTGTGTGTTTCCACAGTAAAAAGGGTTGCCCACAAAAAAGAAAAATATATCTCTATATGACAATTATTGATCACGTGTCTCGTACTCGTATAGGAGGCGAGACTCGTGATGTCATCAGATAATGTGGTACAAATAAGTCACATCATTAAGCTACAATTGACTAGAGATAAGAGGGAGATGGGGGAGATATATACTTGTTGAGGTGCATTATAGCCATGAGGGACTTGAAAGGCATCACTTTCATAAGGCATATCAATCGTCTTCTCAGCTTTCCTCACAAAAGGGCTTGTTATACCTCCATTGCAAACCACAGCCAAGTTCAAAACCAAACCCAAAACTACAAACCTAGCTACCCTTGAAGAAGTAGAAACAGACGCTAAGCTCACCACACCCATCTTGGTCATATTATTACTCAAGGCACCCTCAAACCCTACACAAATTCCATTGCGCTCAGCAAAATCATGCTCCTTTATAGACACATAAAAATTAATTTAATTTAAATAAAGAAAATCTAAAGTTTATCAGGAAATATGGGGAATATTATTCAGAGCTGTATAGGAATATGCACGTTTCTAAGGCTAAAGGGATTTGGATTTGCATGGTTTTCTATTTATTTTTAACATGTGTACTTATTCTTCTGGGAATTTTAGGTGAGTTGTGTTTCTTTTGGGATCGGAAATAGTGATTGTATACAGTTGGCCTTGGGAGTTCTGAGTGAATGAAACGTATCTATTCTTGGATTGGAGCAATCAAAATATAACAATGACTGTAATATATATATATATATATTAATATGTAAAATATTTATAAAAAAAATGCATTGTCATATTTCATAAATAAAGAAGTATTAAATTGCCTAATTAAAGGGAAGAAGAAGAAGAAATTAGAAGTATTGGTGGACATAGGAGGTGTTTGGGTTGAGATTTGATAAAACAAAAATTAAAAAAAGGATCCTTTTATATTTTGTAGAAAAAAGTTGTAACTTGAAGGGAGATTATTCAATAAGTATTTAAGTTAAGGATTGGTTATATACTTTTAATCTCTGGTGTTGAATTGCATCTAAGAGATTACTAACACATTTAACGAATGCAATCCAACGCCCCAAGATTAGAAGTATGTAACCAATTTTTACAGGTATATGCACGGTGGTAATAGGTATTTGCCACTCTAACAATATCATCACAAACCAATCAGATATTGTTATGTGAGAAAGTTAAAATGCATGACCAAGTGTGATTAGATTTGTTAAGTTTTTGTCCAATTCAAGATAGAACGAAAAGTAACAAAATCATTATGACTTATGACCACAAAAAGGGTTAAAACAAAGCAAAGATTCCAAAAAAATCTAGTTTTCTTATAAAAGTTCACCCCCTATCTAGCAATTTGTTATTTTCTAGGATAGCAAATTAGCGTCATCAAATCATTATCTCAACAACCCAAACATCCCTTGAAGCCTTCCAAACTTAAAACCAAAATCCTAAAATTTAGCATAACAAACTAGCAATGTTTGTTGTACAATAAATTGATAACTTCCACGCGAAAAACCTGTTAGTTTGCAAGCAATTGACACAGATTGTTTTGTCATTCTTGATAGCCCACCACAACTCAAACAAACACATCAGCCTGACTGTTTATGACCTCATAATTTAACAAGTCCAGTTAAAACACAGCATGACAAATGGAGAAAACCCAATCCAACTATCATTCTAAATTATATTTTCATCAATCGCTTATGTGCGCGTGTAGAATATTATGACCAAATTACAATTTTGGTTTCTGTAGCTTGGCCTAATTTTCTCTTAAGTATGTAGAGTTTAAAAAAATTGCTATCGTACCCCTCTAAAGTGGTCTGGTTTGAAATTGAAGTTTCCACTTTAAGTTCCATGTAAGCACTAAATTATAAACTAAACCAAATTATATGAGATAGCAACTTTCTAAACTATAATAAATCAGGCCAAACTATGAGGATAGAAAATGTAATTTATCAATCGTTGATATCTATAAATTTTATTGTAATTCTCATATACATTAACCTCATTGATCCTACAAGTGAACGAATCTCGAGATTAACCTCTTTCATCATCCATCACTCGGTTGATATCGAAAACAAACCTCTTCCATCACAAATTTCTCCGCAATATTTCATTCACCACCCTATTTCCCCTCTGTTTCTTATTATTTTCTCCAACAAAACAACAAAACAATCATCTTCAAGCCAAGAAATAAATAAAAAAAACCGAAAAAAACAGAAACAAAACAATATCCAACCCAATTACAATTCAAAACCAACAAGCAACGCAAGGCACTATCCAACTACCATTCAACACCAACACTCCAACACCGCCACGTGTCCCGTTTCCATTTGCCCGCCCATTACCCACTCCCGTAAGCAAACACCCCAAAACTATCGCCTACACGATACCCTTAAAATATATCTCATCTCAGAAAATCTAAACCGTCCATCACACTCCATCATTGGTGGGACACTCTGTGAACCGTGCAGATATATGAAGTATATAAATCCGACCGCAGAGGATTTTACACCTCCAAGGTCCTCGTCGACTTTATAAAGCAAACCGGACTGTGCAGAACCAAAGCTACCAATCGGTCTCTGTAAACATGGATCGCTATCTCTCTCTTCTTCTCGCGTTCTCTCTCTTGATCGTCTCGCGTGCTCAATCGGACAGCGCAGATCCGCTGATCAGGCAAGTGGTCGACGGCGGCGATGATCACCAGCACGACCATCGGCTCGGAGCCGAACACCACTTCTCGCTCTTCAAGCACCAATTCGGCAAGTCGTACGCGAGCCAGGAGGAGCACGACTACAGGTTCGAAGTGTTCAAGGCCAACCTGCGCCGAGCCGCGCGACACCAGAGGCTCGACCCGTCGGCTCAACACGGCGTGACTCGGTTCTCCGATATGACCCCGGCCGAGTTCCGAAAGAGTCAACTCGGACTCAGAGGGCTGAGGCTTCCTGCCGACGCCACCAAGGCTCCGATTCTCCCGACCGAGAATCTGCCTGAGGATTTTGATTGGAGGGATCGTGGAGCTGTCACCGCCGTTAAAAATCAGGTCTTTTTTCGTTTTTATTGTAAAATTTTATTTTATTTATTTTTAATTTATTTGTTTATTTATTGGGTTATTTGGGTTTTTGTGAAATTAGGGCTCGTGCGGGTCGTGCTGGAGTTTCAGTACTACAGGAGCTTTGGAAGGTGCCCACTTTCTGGCGACTGGAGAGCTTGTGAGCCTCAGTGAGCAGCAGCTTGTGGATTGTGATCACGAGGTTTGACTTTTTTTATAAATTAAAAAAAAATTAAGAATTATTATTTGGTGCTTCTGCTTATGAAGAAAATTCGGATTTCTATTGGTTGATTGTTTGATTTTAATTGGCGAATACACGATAATTAATAATTGCGATTGTCCCTTTCTATGGTGTTTTTGTTGTCAGAATATTTCTTACAATTGTCTTGTTCAAATTATCTGTGATTGTGGTCTCCATGTGAGACCCACATGGAATCTGGATGATGAATAGTTAGCTTCTTCTTTCTGCTTGTCTTTGACTCTGTCAGTACTGAAAGTCACGAACTGCAACTTTTTATTGCATTTAAACCAAAACCTGAGATTTTCACCCCAAAAAAACCAAAACCTGAGACGGTGTCTGTGTTTTCAAGTACATTTTTTTGGGTCAAGGTGTCTTTACATGTTCCTAAGTCTCAACACATGTCACAAAGAGAATGGAAAAGGCTAGAAATTGTAGAGATGTAATAATTGTTCACGGAGTTGGGTTTTCTAATTTGCAGGAAATATGTCTGAATATTGTAATTGTTGTATCTGCTGTATGTTATATATGTTTTGGTTATTACCTTATTGGTGTTCAGGGTGACATGATAATACTTTAACTGCGTGTTTTTTTGTTTTAATTAGTAAATGAAAAATAAAGTTGGATTCTGTTTTAGCTTTGTTTGCCTTATTGCCTTATTAGTGTTCAGGGGTGACATGATAATACATTAACTGTGTGTTTTTTTATTTTGGTTTTATTTAGTGAATGACAAATAAAGTTGGTTTTGTTTTAGCTATGATTACGAGATGTAGCAAGAAGTTATATTTGGATGTAAAAAGTTAAATGGTCATTTATCTGCTTGTTGCGTTGAAGGATTTTTAATAGAATGTGTTCTTGCTGCTGAAATGTTTTTATTGCCATTGTTTATCTGGATAATGCAGAAGCAGTTCAGTCTGATTGATGCTTGTGTCCTTATCCTTAATAGAAATACATAATGAATGGTGCTTGTGTTTTAACAGTAGCACCATTAACAGATTGCCATTGTTTTGTTTGACTGTTTCATTCATTCAGTGATGTCCTAGAAAAAGGTTAGTTACTTAAATTTCTATTTCTTATGCGTTCTTTCTGAAAAACTTGCAGTGTGATCCAGAGGAGGCAGGTTCATGCGACTCTGGATGCAATGGCGGGCTCATGAACAGTGCCTTTGAGTACACACTCAAAGCTGGTGGACTAATGAAGGAAGAAGAATATCCATACACTGGTACCGATCGTGGAACCTGCAAATTTGACAAAAGCAAAATTGCAGCAAAGGTTGCCAATTTCAGTGTTGTCTCCCTTGATGAAGAACAAATTGCTGCAAACCTTGTGAAAAATGGCCCTCTTGCAGGTAACTTGCATTTAATTTTGTGATTTCTGTTATTTGCCTTCTTCTATTTGTAAAGATATTTTATTTTTTCTGCTCATCTTCTCTTTATGATTTAAGAGCATTATAGGATACTGGTATGAGTTCCTGTAGTGGTTAATGCCTGTTATTAACTAGTACATTGTTCGAATGCAGTGGCTATCAACGCAGTGTTCATGCAAACATATGTTGGTGGAGTGTCATGCCCCTACATTTGCTCAAAGAGATTGGATCATGGGGTGTTGCTCGTGGGTTATGGTGCGGCTGGCTATTCTCCCATCAGAATGAAGGAGAAGCCATACTGGATCATAAAGAACTCATGGGGAGAGAACTGGGGAGAGAAGGGATTCTACAAAATCTGCAAGGGCCGGAATATCTGCGGTGTAGACTCCATGGTCTCAACTGTTGCTGCAGCATCTGTTGAGACCAACCCACAGTAGGCTTCAACCCCAACCTATAATTGCAGTTGGAATATCTGTGTAATGTATATACAAGTTCGGAGACATTTATTTGGGCAACTCCAATTGATGTTGACACTGTCAGCGTCAGCCTCGCAAAACATAAAACTAAACATAGCACCACCCATGTATTTGATAATTCTTGGGGTTTGCCGGAACATCTTAAATGTCCTATTTTATGTGTTGTTAATGCTAGTTCTTCCGACTTTATATATGGGTATTTAATTTGCTTGCCAAATTATAACTATAGGGCAGCTAAATGAAAGATGGATTTATTCAAGGATCAATCCAACCCAGGTAGTTTTACTTTTCTTTATATTTTTCTAAAAAAAAATAGCAAATATATATACCTGAATGAATTATATGACCAATCAATTGGGGTTTTCTTGTAAGATATTTGGTGTTTTATGCTTTTTAAATTGTAAAGCTGCTATTCCAAAAGGAAATGTTTTCTTCTATTTTTTTCTTTGTATTTTGTTGGAAAATACCACGAGGAAATGATGCACCTTGAAAGCGAGATTGCTTCTAGTTTTAATTCTTTCTGTTACCGGGTCTTTTGCGTCATGCATTTTGGTACGTTGGGCATGACTTGGCTACATGTTGATTTTGCCTGCACTTTCGTAACTGCTCAGTGTGCCACGCATATTTTGCTCCTAAAAAAGCAGTCATTGAATGAATGAAACATTGAAACGCTAATGTTTTTAAGTTGAGTTATAAATATTAAAAGGTTTTGTGCATTTACTCGCATTTAGTTTAATCTCAACAATCACAATAATTCAATGATGTGTTAATATTTTTCTGCTTGCCGTCTTCTTCTCCAATTGTTGCTGATTTCTTTGCTTTTTATTCGTCCGACTTACAGGAAAACATGTCTATTAACTATGTCTCTAATGACAGAAAAAAAAAATGCAATTGATTAACCCATTGCACATACCTCATATTGCAGTTTCCACCTTGTGCCTAGAACTCTTTTTCTTTTTCTGTTTTCTATCGAGATTGACAACAATATACTAAATTCATACACACTACACGAATGCTAGGACTCGAACCCAAAACCTTTCCTGGAGGAACAATTACTCTAAACCTTTTCTGGATGAGCAATTGGTCCAAACCTTTCCTAGGACTCAAACCTAAGCCCAAGATTTATGGCAGAAGAAATCTTACCACAAAAGGAAAGCTGAAAACTGAGCAAACTGAAAAATGAGATATAATAAAGCAAAGAGCAGATATACGTGTGGGTGGCACACATCAAAACATAATGTAGAGGCTATTTGAACGTCAAATGAAGACTGTAGTATGAAAGATTGAGTTTGAATGAAGGAAAGGTTGGACTTTCCTTTTATTTGGAGAAGTGAAAAAAATCAGAGTGAAAAAGTACATAAAATTCTACTATAATACTTTGTCTCTTCAGTACCAAAAAAAATTAAATAAATAAGAAGGGGGGGGGGTTTACAACTGCCTCTATAAGGCCTGGTGCTTAATATTTTGACTAATTAGAGCTGAAAGAATATGTTTTGTACATTTCACCAATCTCTCATCTTAATGGAATGAAATTCATAGAGGTTGTTCGTTCTTCTTCTTGTTAATCTTGTTGCACCGATTAATTTTTAATTATATATATACCATAGTTCCGTTCCCTTGAACCACAGAGTTCAAGGGTGGTTGACCACAAGTCCTTTAGACCACAAAGTCTAGGAGAACGAGACAGGTATATTCCATGTAGGCTTTGGCTCAATTATACATGGATTTGACATTTAACATGAAATTAACAAGAGATATTTTATTTGATTAAAAAAAAAAACGAAGAGATATTTTAGATTATTTTCTTAAAGTGTTGCACCACACATGCCTCATACTATATAATAGAATACCATTGGAATTGAAATTTTAATTCAAATAAACATATCAACCATTTTGATAGTTTATATTTAATATCTCCATTGTATATATTCTTATAGAAATTTATCAACGATTTTGTATTTTTATTTTTTATATAAGCAATATTCTATTTTAATCTAATATAAACTATGGGAAGGGGGATTGAAACTCAGGTGAAAAGTGGGGGGCACATTAGCTCTAACAAACTTGACTAAGTTCATGTCTGCTTATTAAAGATTTATTTGTAAAGTGAGATTAATTTCCAAGACCCCATATAATCATTGAAAATATTTATTAAAAAATGCCAAAAGTTAGGAATGGGGAGGGGGAAAACTCACACACATTGATACAATGGGGACTTGAACTCGGCCTATAGGGCTATAGGTGGGCTTGCCTCGGCCCAATTTGCAAAGGGTAAGGCCTGGGCTATGATTTTAAACCCCTGATCCGATATTTAATTCAGTTTTTAATAAATAATATTTATAGAAATTTTTTTTTGTTTTTTTTTTTTTTTTTTTTTTTTTTTTATTTTTTTTTTATAAATAGTTGTTTTTAATCTTTACCTTACCTCTTATCCGTCAAACACTGGTCACTTTTCCGGAAGTTGGAAAGAAAATTGTGGAATTCAAATATGAGTATCTTTCTGATTATTGCTTTGCTTGTGGGCGGCTTGGTCACTCTACTCAGGTGTGTCTTAAAAAATATGAAACCCTCAATGGGCCTCTCACTCCGTGTTTGCGTGATCAATTGACATCTGTTTTTGCTAATTTAGAAGGTATTACTAATTTATGGGGTAAACCATTTGGCTCTCTAGATCGTCGTTCCTCGACTTTTCCCCCTTCTTTCAAAGGCAATGGTAATTTTTCACTAGATGGTTCGGGTAATCAAGGTAGCCCTAATGATCGTTCTTGGCATTCTCGTAATGGGGATGAGTTTGCTGATTTTGCATCTCCTCCCACTTTATCATGTTGTCACCAAGGTTTGAGGGTTTACCGAAGAAGAGTCGTAGCATACCCAAAAAAGCGAGGAGGGTTCACGGAGTGTATCTGGGTAAAACTAGTGTGAAGCGTAAGCAACCAGTGGTTATATGTGGTGATCTATTGGTGGCTGATGCGGATTGTGTCAGCCCTAAACGCTTCTGTAGTGGCGCTAGTCTGATAAGGCCAAGGAGACTGCTCTAATGAAGTCTCCTAGGGGTCCCTCTTAGTGTGTAGCTGGAGTGTTCGTGGGCTTGCCATCCGACGAATGCTCTTTCTTTAGGTTAAGCGGGCAATGTTGTTTTGCTTGTGTGGTTGTTTTTCCGAGGAGTTTTCTTCAGCTTTAAAGTCTGTGTTATTGTCCTTTTCCATTGTTCTATTTCTCCTTTATAAGTCGGCTTTGCTCTGCGTCACCCGAAGAAGTATGCTTGGTCATATGAGGCTTTCTTTGTCATGTAGTGAGTTGAGATGAGGTACTTCTCATGGGTCTTTTTGTGCTATTGTTTTTGTGTTCTTCCTCCGTGTGCTCTCCTAGGTTTCTGTACTTGGTGGGTTTTGCAATTTGTGTGCTGGTCAAAGGACTATGAGTTTTCTCATAGGAGGTTTCTTTTAACAGTTGGGATGCGATGCGGTTCTCTTATGTGGGTCTACTGTGTTGGTGTTTAGTTGGTTTTCTTTCTATTCTTGTAATGGTCTTTTGTGGTATGAATCAAACTCTCCTGTTAGTCATTGACATGTGTGGTACTCTTTCCTATCCTAGGGTTTGTCCAATGTAGTTTTCTTGGGAAGATTTTAATGAGGCTACTATTTTCATGCCATTTTGGCTTATGAATGAAATCTTCTATAATAAACAAATCTTATAAGGTCGGGCTGGCTCGACTCGACCCATTTTACAGTTCTATCCATGACCATTTGGAAGCACACCAAAAATCTAGGTCAATCCAACTAATGCTCCATTGATATTGAAAATAATTGTTCATTACAGTAATAAGTTAAAAAGTTTTGTTAGATTGACAATAATAAAAGGTTGAAATGCAAACCTTAAACAACAGGGATTTTTTTAAAGATACTTGGTGGATTAGATTTTGAACTAATAATCAATTGTAAATCTGCTATTCCAGTAGGAAATGCTGCACCTCACAGTACTGACTTTTAAGTTTTAACTTGGGCAAGATTGCTTTTGATTTTGATTACTTTGGCACCGGGTCCTTCCTTCAAGTTCAACAATGCTTTTGCATGGGCGCAAAATTAACAAGTCATGAATACATGGTTACCCTTCAACACCTTCCACAAAGCCTGCACTGATTCAAAATAACATGCTTTAGAGTTTCAATCAGAACATGGTTTAGGTTACACCTCTAAAATTGGCATGTGCCTGGTGTTTTTACACCTCCAAAAATTGGAATTTACGCACGCTAATTATGTTGAAAAAATTGATGAAATTTAAAAAAATTTCTTTAAATTATAACGACTAATAAATTATCTAAGTTAAATCACGACAGTTGAAACTACATGGAAGAAAATGCATCTTCGCCCAAGCTACATAGACCTTAGTCATAATTTGATGTTTTTTCTTTCATCAAATGTGACAAATAAAATATTTATTTATTTATTTTGGTCTCTTATCACGAGATTCTAATTGTGTCGATCTTGTGGACACGCAGAGTTTGCTTTCAGACACAAGTGCATGACTGAAACTTTGTTCTTCTTCTCTTATTGAGATGTGAGCACTTCCTTATAAAATGCATGCTTGCTCTTCAACAACTTTCAAAGGCCAAAACCTTACACCTCCATGGCTCCTCTGCCTTCAGAATCTTTTGTACCACATTTTCTCTCTCTCCAAAGATATCCATTGCTCTTTTAAAAGCCGTATGTGAGAATTGGAGGGAGCTAAACAAATAAATCAACACCTCATTAATGGAAAATTTCTAATTTGTTTAGTTTCCTCCAATATCTTATATCCGACATTTGAACTCCATATTCCGAATTATTCTTCATTTTAAAAGTTGTCTGTGAGGGTTGGAGGGTACCCGACAAATTCACTCCATAATATCGATGGTCGTAATTCGTTAGGTGTCATCCAGCTCCTCATCTCCAACTTCTAGAGTTCAGTCCCAGAAAAAGCTTTTGTCAGTTGATGTTACAAGTCTTCAAGTTCGTTGTTTGTGTCTCTGGTGTTCAACTGTTGTCTCAAGCTTCCAATGCTTTTCTCAACCCAAAAAATAAAAAAATAAATCAGTGTGAAATTCTTTAGCCGTACCACTTACCTTGGAATTATTATTTCTTTCATGAAAAAATAAAAAGGAACAAGCTCGTTTTTGGCCACTACAAGACTCAGAATAATAATATTGATAGAAAAAAGAAACTGCTTCAACTAAGAAAGAATAATTGCCAAATACGCAATAACACGTAGAATAACTTTTCCACTTTTCCACGTATCATTGTGTTACTGACCGGAAATTGCAAAACATTGTGTTATTGACCGGAAATTGCAAAACAATGTTATCCCTGTCACATGCAAATTTTTCTTTTCCCGGGCAGCCTCATAGTGTGTTAACTTAATTTGAAGTTTTGAACTCAGTACAAGCTGACCCACAAAAAAATTTAACTTTCATCACCTCCAGCAAATCCCTTTTAGCGCATCCTCCACTAAGGTGTACACTTCTTTTTTCTGAATGAAGCTACATTACATCTAATATTAGCCAAGAACTAGGTTACCAAAAAGCATATAGCAGAGCGTAGTAAATTTTAGAAGTTTTGGTTTTCCTTAATACTATATAAATAGAAAGATGATTAGATATCGTCATTATTACACACGGCCACAATTGCCACTACATATTAAGATGATGCTGGCCCTAAAAACTCGCTTATTCCTCCCAATAACAAATAATAAATAAACATGCTAAAAGGGACGATGCTCAATTCGAAAACCAACTGATAATTCCCCCCTCCCCATACAAGGTGCAACACAATTGCCGCCTTCTACTTGTCCAAATGAAAGAATCAACTTGGGCTCTTACCTATTCACACTCAACTCCACGGCTTAAACAGTGCCTAGGACTTCATTTTAGGGCATCACTCATCTTCGTCATCAAGCAATGCAAATGAGAATGGATAGAACTTGTAACCATCTCCCTCGTAAAACTTGTTCTGGAATTCCACCCAGTGAAGTCGCAAAGCATGAAGGAAAGCACTGAGAGTTTCCATCAGCAGTAAAACACCGACAGTTGCGCAAATGAAGACAATAATACCCACTATGAGTATGATCACGTTGTTGAACCTGTGCAATGTACAAAACAATATGTTAATTATAATTTCCTTAGTAGATATCCAGTAAGACTGACTAATTAAACAAAAGCAGCATCATAAATGAATCAAACGTACCCCCAAGCCAGCAGGAGAACCTTGTCATAGAACACACTGGACAACTCTGAATGAGCAAGACTGAACAAAGTTCAAAGAAAAGACAAATACACAATATTAGCTTTTATTGCGCAAATATATAATTAAAAAATTCTGCATGACCATGTCCTAATCTGTAACAGCAAAAAGAAGAATGTACTACTTTTTGTAGAAACCAAGTAACAAATTGGCCAATGAATATAATGAGGAATCTAGCCAATGTCATGTCACCAAGTGGGAAAATAAGGTCCCAGTTAACACTCATAGTTGATGACTTTTCTTAAATAAATAAAAAACAAAAACAAATACATGCATACAGAGTTCAACAATTCGGCAGCACATCAAAACGAACTGTACAGACAAACATGCAAAGTTAACAATTTACAACTTAATGAAAATTTTGTTATTGCTTCAATTTTAAACTTATTGATGCCAAAAAGTTGTTTTTGATTTCAACACTTCTCAACATAGGATGCCAACACACATCGAAATCAATCAGTATCAAGCACACATACCTACATAACAAATGCAGACATGAGCTCGCATATGCAGACACAAAAACAAATACATACGCGTACACCTGTATGCATGTGCACCGATGGCTGAATATAGGCAAACATCAAAATGTTCACCAAAATAGCCAAGAATGACAGTTAAAGTTCCTGGAAACTACCTTAGAGCCCATAGACGAAGGTATGAAGCTGTATTTGAGACTGCTCCAAGTACAAATTCTATTGTGTGTATCATTTGATGTACGAAAACTTCACTAAATTCAAACTCCCCATGACCATGGGCATCATGGTTTGAATTCACTTGCAAGCTCTCTTCTGTGTTCTCAAGTAGGGCGTAGGATTGGCCTTGGTGCCGCTGAAATAACACAGCCATCAGAAGCAGTGGATGAAAATAAATAAGGGGAAAAAGTGATGATCAAAATGACTGAGGGACTTAGGAAAGGATGTCTACAAACATACATCTTGATGTTGCTTCTTCAATATAAAGGGCTTTGGAAACAGCATCCATGGTACAGAAACAAAAGCCAATAGTAATAGCACAAGCTGGTAAAAGAACAAATGAAATATAAGAAATACTCACATGTTTTCACTTTTACAAGAGAAATAAAAATAAGATTGAAAAAAACTGATAGAGGGGCTACCTGAACTGTTCTCTGACCACTGAAAAGCTGGTTTTCACCTAGCTCGTCTGTAGGACTTAGGAACATGTATATCATTACATGGTATAGATCAGCTTTTGAACCAGTCCACCACTTCATAACAATGAGAACGGACAGGTAGCCAAATAGACTGTTTAAAAATATAATCTGGGGTATAAACTGGAACCTGGGCAATGCAACATATGAATCAATACCAGTTATACACAAGGTCAGAAGCAGGCTATAGAAGAAACTAATGATGTGACTCTAGAGGTAAGTAATCACAGTAAATATGAAAATTATTCACATTTACAGTGTATGCACCTCTGCCTCTAGTGGTCAAAATGACAGCTCTACTAAAACGATTAGAAAACAAAGAATAGCACAGCTTACCAAACGTTAACTCCACTTCGAAAGAACCTGGCGTTGAAAAAACTTATTATAATTCCAAGGTTCATTTGGACCACCCCAAGAAGAATTGACATTTTCATCTTCAATGAGTTTAGAAATGGAAGCTCACTGCGGGATCCATGCCATACAGGATCCAGGCCAAATGGGTAAGTGGGACGCACCTTAATCAAGCCAGCTGTAGTAGCGTCTCTGCATAAAAAGAATTTCAGTTGACTATTACAAACAATTCAAAACATGAAGGCAGCAGAGGCATATCCAAAGTTTTAGCATATACCTGCAAGAAAGATCACGGCACGCATATGCTGAGCTGCCAAACAGTTCAAATGGGACAGAGAAGAACTCATTATAGATTAAACCTGTGTAGATTGAGAAAATTGCCATCAACAAAATAACATAACGGCCACCAAAGGCCATCTCCATGATGTCTCCAAGCTTCTGTAAAACCATAAATATATGTAATTAGATTCTTACATCTAGACAAACATGAAAAATAAAAAATAAAAAAATTGCTTCCTAGATATAACTAGCATGTGAAAGGAAAAATGCTAAGAACCTACAAACCAAAAGAAGATGTTCCTCATGTCCTTTGGATTTCAAATAACAAAGTGAAAAGAGGAAAGTAATCACAATAAATGAATTCAAAAGATAATTACACCGAGCAAACATGCTCATGAAGAAGCAAAATGACAGAATTTGCAGGCTTAATGAAATTGAAACTTTCTATAAAGCACGTGTATTAGACAATATCAGACGTTCAAATGTCGACAAACAAAATCTTGTATAACCAAGAACACTGCCTTACTCCTCACATCATAGAGGTAAAAGACAAATTCTATCACAGTAGTGCAACTTATTAAACAATCACAATACCCTGACGGGATGGGGATGGGGAAGGGGCGGGGGAAGAAAAAGGCAAAATGGGATCTTCCAATTTTTTTAAGGTCCAAGTTTTTTAACTCATTCATTAAACTTATTGCACACAAGTTTTTAAACTCATTCATAAAGCACGCGTATGCAATATCAGATGTTCAAATGTCGACAAACTAAATCTTGTATAACCAAGAACACCGCCTTGCTCCTCACATCATAGAGGTAAAAGACAAATTCTATCACAGTAGTGCAACTTATTAAACAATCACAAAACCCTGACAGGATGGGGAAGGGGGCGGGGGAAAAAGGCAAACTGGGATCTTCCAAGGTCGAAGTTTTCTAACTCATTCATTAAGATTATTGCACACAAGCTATAATTACCCAACAGGTTTTGAGTCGGTAACAATCAGAAAAGCATTGAAGAGCATAACAAGATAGGATAAAGTGAACAAAGTCACTACCACCTAATGGGCTAAGAATACAAAATTATGCACTTAAAAGACCTTCAGATACTGGTTACTACTTGGGGCAATAAGCAACATACAGTCAGTGTTACAATGGCTAATGGTTCACATCTTTCTTGATATGAGAATATTATCTAAATAATATCTAAAAATATAGGAGAAAATTCTCTGGTATTTTATTAAACTAAAAAAAATGGAACAGCCGACTAGCATAAAAGACAGTAGGGAATACATCAATCTTTGATCATACACTTTGATATAAAGTAGATGGTCTATAATGAAACAATATAAATGTTGAGATTGGACATGTCAACATAAGTGATTACAAAGCATATATAAATAATACCTGACTAGAAAGCTTCCTTTCCCTGCCTATTAAATATAGTGTCGCAAGTAACAAACATATTCCATGTCCCCAATCACCAAACATGACAGCAAAAAGAAATGGGAATGTCACAATAGTATATACAGCAGGATTTGCTTCTTGATACTTAGCTACCCTGCAATGGCATTGAAACAAAACATTTTGGAATCTTGTGTATATTTCTGTCAGAAACAATAAAATAACACTGCAATTTGTGCTTTCAAATTCTAAAATTTGCATCAGTGCAATGTAGGGGTTGCTTTCTTACTAAAGTCACTAATGTTGCACTTCAAACATCTTCGTTAGTTGCTACATTAGATGGAACATTAAGAATTAAAGCAGGAGATGATTCAGGGACACTATAATCTTTGATTGTTACCCCATATTACCTGGAAAAACAAGCTATTATCTAGCTCACATGATAATGGCCAGGAAGTACTAGAGATGGCAGAGTAAATCAATCACAATAACTACATAAAGTGGATAAAAAATTTCAGTATATAGCCCCACACCTCACTAGGGAAAGTCCAGAATGACAGTGGTTAACAAATAAACTCATTAAATTTCTTATATTAACCTTCCTTGGGGAAAAAATTAGAATCTTAACTTTTGCAATTATCAATAAAGAAGCACCGAATAGCAAGATATTGCAGCGGAACTCACCCATATGCCTCAACAATTTCTTGAAAAGAAGAAGTGAATTTGTTTGTGCGGAAATAGGTAGGTGGTGCCTCCTGTGTGTGCAAAACCTGGAAAATAGCGCCAACTTGTGAGTTGGAGTCAAACGCTGCCCGCTGCAATGCATCCTGGATCTGCACAATCAATTCAAACAAAGAAACTCAATACCATATTTGGTTTGTATGTCATAGTTCAAACCTCTTAATTCAAACTGGGTGAAAGAGGACTCATCATACTGCAGAGAATTTTTTTGTAAGTAAAGGATACCTGTTTTGATGCAAAAATAGGACTCCACCCCTCAGCCACAAGACACTTTTTTGTTACATCAAGGCTAAGCATGTTAAGATGATGGTATATGGACTTCTCCTTCCTCACCTTCATGAGTACAAAGAAACATTGTCAAGAGCTTGACATTTTGCAATAAAGCAAACATTCTCCGCACAAATAATAAATAAATTTCATTCAGTACAATAATTCAAACCTACCAAAAGGTTCCAATGCTCAAAACGCTCCCCAATAGTCTGTAACAAACTTCCCTGGTGCAACAGTCCGATATCTATGGTAGTCTTTAGCTCTGAAATTCTTCCTGAAACCTGAATTTGAAATGTATGGTTGGCAAATGAAGATATGAAGGTCTTAACTCCCAGTTTTTTGGGTAGCTCAAAACCGGAGAGTTTAAACCTTAAAATCTAAGCTCTAAACGATGATTTTAAACCCTACAATAATTATCATTGTCAGGAGTAGGATAAAAATTGGAAGTAAAAAAAATTGCTAAAACGCCTATGCTGATCAAGGCCCAGGAGGCAACTTCTTCATGTGTTAATCGATCAGGTAACAACTGCAAAAAGGCTAACTTGGATTTCTAAGCATGGGTGTCGTAGAAGTTAACGAACTAACTACATCACTAATTAGTTAAAGTATAAACAATAATATGTTGGCATACTTCATGCTGGAAAAAAAGAAAAAAGCGCAAAGAAAAAGATGAGAGCACACATGAAAACAATAGAAATGTAATATGAATGAAGGGAGCATCAGCATGGCCAAATAATCCAAAGAGAACCCATAGTACATACCGAAGTAATCATTTGAGCTTGTCTACCCAGATCCTCAGGAAAAGAGTAACGATTGGCTCCAAAAGCTTCACATATTTTAAGAATTTTGTTCTTTGCTCTTTCTCCAGAGTAGAATACCACAAAAACATTTTTCTCAACCTGCAAATCATAATTCACAGTCAAAGACAAAGTGTGCAATAACAAAGAAAAACCAGATGGACAAATAACAGTGCCATATTATATAATAAACTAACCATATATCCAGTATTCATATATAAAGGTTTCCATTTTATCAATTTTCATTGCTAACTAATGATTTTTACTATGTATATGTACATCGACATACTTCCCACTACAAGGAATATATTTGTTGATGAGACCATTATATGGAATATAAGAAATTTAGAATGGCCTGAAATGCAACAAGGATGATAAATTGTCATCACCGAGCAAAAAAATTTTAATCCCATTCAAATATCAGAGTGCCCATCTCAGAACTGGCAGAAGTCAGCACCACCTACAGCTCTCTCTAAGACTTATGCAAAGATGCAGAAGGTAACAGCAAATGCATAAGATGAATGAATTCAGTTTTAATGGTAATAGTGAAAGACTACCCTTTGCTATTTTCCAAGAAAGTGACTACTCATTGGTGGTGTGAAATTCTTGCTTCATTTTGGAATTTGATTGGGAGGAGAAAGAAACCTTTTATTAATTTGAAACAATCCAACAATGTAGACAAGTTGTTCACTCAGAGATACAGAATAAGACAGTTACAACACATTTGACATGAATAATCTTATGGCTTGGCAATTCACAGCAGCCTTCCTATCTACTAAAATAGTAAAAAGACACCCCCTTAAACTCATTTGAAACAGATGCCCATAATGGGGACCAAAATCTAACTATCTCCCACAACTCTTCCAGCCCAAGATCCTTTGGACTGTTTGGTTGAAAAGAAAAGGAAGAAGTTTTTATGACAGAGTGGAAGAGGTAGAGGTTTTTAGATACCTAAGCTCTCTAAACGACTTCTTTTGTTTAAACATAATGAGGATATGCCATTTACTGTAAGTGAACTTGATTGGGTAGGGGTGTTGAGTTGATTGTATAGTATACTTTGTTACACTAAGCTAGTCAGTCAGATTTGATGGCTTCTTGTCCTTATATTATAAATAATAAAGGGTACCAAAAGAACAATAAAAACTTCCCTTCATCGTACCAAGAACATAAAAATGCAGGAAACGATGTGTCCATACCTTCTCTCCTGAAACAGGATCGGTGACAGGATTTTCAACCACAGCCTGCCTCAGAAAGACATTACCCCTAGTAGCTCGAAAAAGAATCCTCTCAAATGCCAAAGACTTTCCCCTAGGAACAAGTCCAGTGAGAAACCCCAACTTAACTTGCTTTGATGGATCAGTTGATGCTTCCTTCACAATAGCCAAACGAAAAGAATTGAACTAAGTAAAAGCAGAAGACTGTGGTTAACCTTAATACTATAAAACCAAAATTGAAGTCTGTACTTGCTCCAGTAATAAAGGCGTGTCCAGAGATTCATCACCAATATGACGGGATTCATTTTCTCTTTGCTGCAACGCGGCACTGCTTTGAGCTGAGTGAAAAAACTCACCAGCCTGAAAGGAAGATATTTTTTTAGTCACTTGAGAGCTTAATGAAATTAGATAAACACCAAACTTAGCGCATCATTAGTTGATAGAGTATGTTCTGATATCTTAATAATGCATGATGCATGGTAATAGAGTTGCAATGATATTTTTTGGGCCGAACAAGCAAAAAGGGCTCACCTTTTCCATAACAAGCTTATATTCTATCAGTTCATTATATGAACGCTGCAACTTTTCACTGTTTGAATTGATTTCAATCAGCTCTGCCTCAAATTCACCAAGTTTTACCTAGCATATGCACAAAATTAGCGTTAGAACATGCAATATTAAGCATCTTTAGCTAGGCACCAAACACCTTATTATACCTCTAGGTCGTCCACATTGACGTCAACTTGTCTTTTAGACTTTGAAGAAGGCAAATTTGCCTTTAACATTTGGTCCTTGAAGAAACGTAATTTGCGAGCCATCTCTGCGCATCTTTTAATCTACAAAGGGAAATGAATAAATGACCAATCAATAAGTCATTGGAGACATAATTTTTAGGTACTTCAACAATTACGAAGAAAGTGCATTACAAATTTTCTGGCCACCTTATAAAGAGGATATGCAGGGCAGGTTACAAGACTCTTTTTAGGTTCGCAACAATCTAAAATAGTTCACTAGCAAAACTAGCTAAGTTGCCAAAAAATGTTAAAGAATATAAAGAAATAGGCAATATGAGAGGTTAACTATTTGAACAACTAACTTGACCACACTTCAATATTAAGTGTATATCAAAAGAAGATTATCAACAAGACCATTCAATTAGAATGAGCATAGTTGAAAAACCTTTACGAGTTCATAAGCATGCAGACATACAAAAGGATCTCTTCGCATGCACCAAGGGGTGTGGGAACAGCCAAAAATGCACCTCAACTCTATGTTCATTTTATAAAGCCAAAATTAGGTAGAATAGGTTACATTGAGGATTGCATCCACTAATAGCTGACTGAGCCGAGTGCATCCCTTTCTTAATATGTAGTCAATATTTTCGGTTAAAGTGGCATGTTCCTGACTCATATTATAAAATATATGCTATGGGTCAGAAATTAATCTCCAAATGGCCAGCGTAGTGGACACAATAGAGCATTCAATGTCTTGAATATCAAACATCCCAAAGGAGGTAACAATAGTACAGTTCTACACACGTTATTAGAAAAGACCAAATATTTATTTATGTTGGCAATCTGAGAAGGCCTTTTACATTAAAATTAATAATAAAGTACAGCTCCAAAGATTATTTTGAAAAACTCTAAGACAACATAAACTATTGGAAAGAAATTTAAAGTTTAGATTTTCCCTCCTTTTCCTGCTAATTCTTACTACTCGATTTTGATGAGAACTTTTTATTTTTCTTTTAATGAGAAGTATCATATCCCTGACAACACAATTGAAGGTATACACAACGCAAATAAAAATGCCGTTTATCAGTAAGCTAAGGGACATAAACACACCTGGGCAGCATAAGTCCTCTGAAACGGGCTCTTCTCTGCATTGAGCTGGAAGAATGAGACATCAAAAACATTAGTTTCCAGATAAAACTTTAAAAACAAATCCTGAAAGAAACATAACAATTTATTAGATTAAGAAAGACGAATAATGAAGCTAGCATAGTGCTTCATGATAAGAGCAAGATGTGCAACACCTAGAAATTCACATTGATGAATTTCAGATATTAGTTCTTCACAAAATTGTATGCATAAACCAAGTAAAAAGTATTAAAGCCTCTCTTGATTATAAAATAGGTGAACCCTTGTGCAATCCTCATATTTCTTATCCGCTTACCCCTAAATCTTTTCCTCATTGAGGATGCTATGTATCTCATCATCTTCTTACTCCTCCACCTAAACCAGGACTTTCTACACTTAACCATCAGTTCTTTAAACTTATAGAAAATTGTACATTCTGGTATAGGAATTAGCAAAAAACTTGTTTGTTCTTTTATACATATATTTTGTCTATAGCTCAGATGAAAGAGATCTAAACTATTGTCAACAACCCACTAAAATTGAACCAATCAAAGCCCTCAATTGAGAGCCACTTGGTGAGCAGAACAATACCACAAGTTTCAAGCCGCTGCTTTTGGTTTGTTAGTTCTGTCACAACTCTACGGGTTGTCCTGGTACTTATATAAATTTCCAAGAGAACTAAAATCTGAGAATGCCATAATTATGTATTAGGTGCTCATAAAGCTAAATACTTTGATAATCAATTTTCTTTTTTCGTGACATCTAAAGTATGTGATAGTCTCGGCAACAGCAGCAGCAAAAGCTTGATCGATATACACATAAATGGTAACGAATCAACTGATCAAATTCTTCATTTTGCACAAAAATCCGAAATTGAGTCCATTAGAAGCTAAAGAATCCAAAACCACTTAATGATCAAACAATTCAATCGTCGTATTACCTAAAACTGAAACCCTAAATCTCATAAAACAAAAACACTTCCACAAATCAAATCCAATTGCGAATTCCAATCACAAACAGTGTCAAGCTAGGGTTTTTTCTTGTTCTCCGCACAGAAATCAATCCAAAACATAAAATTCACCATAATTGAAACAGAAAATTGAGAATCAGAAAGAGAGAAGGAAATGAGGACGTACGTCTTTGAACTGGAGGAGGCCGAGGTCGCCGAGATAAGAGACAGTGAGGTGAGCAGACTCGATGGGGATGATGATCTGGACGAGCTGCATAGGCTCCGACCTGAACAGATCCATCGGAGGACAGCACTCTCCCATTCTCTCTCTCTTCTCTCTCTCTCAATCTCAGAGTCTGTGGTTGTGTGTTTGTGTAATTGTTGTGTGAAACAGTGTCTCAAAAACCACACGCCCACAAGAGAGAGATGAGAGATCAAATAATGAACTGATCTCCACTGTAATTTTGCTTTGCTTTGCTCTGCTTCTCCTTAGCGCTGGGCCACACGGATCTTCCACGTCACCCGGTACCCTCTCTCTCCTCTCTCTTTAATTTTTGTTTGTTGGGGAAGGTTTTGTGGGAAATTTCTCAAGGCCTCTGGATCTTTTGTCCCTTTTCCAATTTTTTATTTATTTTCCTAATCGGATTCGACAGTCATTCTCAATTAAATTAATATTTTTTTGGTGCGACGTGATTGTTGTGTTCCCGTCAGGGATATTTATATTTTTTCTTCCTTTTCTTTTTTTCTTTTTTTGGTTATTTGGGTAAGTTAATGGATAAGATATAGTGTTAGTATTCAATGGGATTTAACCTGGTCTTGAATTTATAACCAAGTTATATTTTGGTTATGTAATTTGTTTTTGAGTCACTTTAGTTCTCAAATTCTCGTGTGTACTTAGAGAATAATTGTATCTAATTTGGCGGTTTTACTTTCTAAATAGACAGAAAAATTGATAAAATAATTAAACTAGGACACGCACAAGAATTAGAAGACCAATTGACCCAAAAAAAAGTTTAATGATCAAAATGAAACTCTGATATAAGTGAAAGTATCATTGCAAATAAAAATTCTTTAAATATTACTCCACAAGGTTGGCATGGTCCAAAATCAATCGGGTTTTCTACTGGCTTTGGCTCACAGTAATTCTTTGACAAAAGTTATTTTCAACTGTTTTACCAAACAGGCTTGGACTTTAAAAAAAGTTTAAAAATCACTTATGGCCTCAAATAAGCGTATCGTACTAGCCAAGCACTGTTCAAAACATATTTACTTAAGAATAATAAGATGTAGTTTTCTCAATCGAATTAAAAGAAATTGAGTTTTTATCACGAATTAGAGATTCCTTCCAGAGGGGGAAACAACAGACTTGTCCATGATACTTTCTGGTCAATTACTATTTACAATTGTTATTGGCTGCTTATCCCAACCAAAAAAAAACTGTTATTAGCTCCAGTGTTTTGTTATCTCTTAGTTTAAAATCATCTTAACTAAGGATAGCCAAAAGAAATAATATCTAGCTGTCCAAAACAGTAATCACATGAGCTTACTAAAAACAACATGCTAGTTCATTAGTTGCACTTGGATTTAGTTCATTAGTTGTATTTAGATTTAATGAACTCATCTAAAAGGTTGCTTAATTTGATTTGAATATACACAACTATCAAGCATTTAATGTGAATTGAATTATCTTGAATTGGTCTAAAAAAGAAGCTTGACCAAAATGTGAGCTGGTTGAAGGGTGGTTGAAACTTAAAACCAAGTAATCAAGATTTTTTTGAGTGCATATCCGACTTTCAAATATGTTGATCGATTACTTAGCCACGAACATGACATGTACAATTGTAAAGAATTTAGCTAGCATCAATCATTCACACATGCACATTGTTTATGAGTGCGAGATTGACTGTGCGATCCACGTTCATCTACGATTGTCTGTCAATTTTGTTGTACATGTTTCAGAAGAATTCAAGTCCTGAGATGAAAATACCAATCATTTTATTTACCTTCTTTTTTTTTTCTATCCTCACATTATAGATCCTTTTACAATAAAATAACATTACACCCTTTAAATAATAAATCTCCATCATATAATTCTTCCTAGTGCATATAGTTATTTGCTTATTTACTAGCTGCAAGCAAATAGCTCATTAGTTGTTGCTAATTATAAAGTTAAAAAGCCTCCCTCACTTCTGCTATACTTGCCAGCCTAACATTGAGGATGTGCTTTACTTGGGCCTCACCAGGAGAACCAACCAGAATTGTGTGCTTCCCAGTGGCCAACTTCCCCGTTTCCTTCTCTAATCCACAAACAAGGCTCAGTCTCTTGCACATATCCACTCTCATTGTTACAAGCTTTGTCTACCTGTTCTTCAACTCCACCATGTGAAAATCCAACAGCTGCAAGTTTGGTGCTCCAACCAACCTTCCTGAGTTTGTCGGTTTCCAGAACACTAGACCACGTGGCCTCTGTCCCTCGGCCCGTTGTTCTTCACCCCCAACAACTAGATCAAAGTTTAGTTTCTGGCACTGCACCCTTGATATGTCAATAAAAAGGCCTCTAGAAGCAGGATCCAAAACCGGTTGAGCGGTGGAGTGGGAAACAAGAAGGTTAGCATGTGGGCTGGAAATGGGAGTTGAGTGGATGAGCGCAGTGGAAGGTGCTGATTTATGAACTTGGTGAATGTTGAATAGCTTAGGCCATGACCAAAATCGTAGATGGTTTTGCTAGTGTAGAATCTGTATGTTCTTCCAGGGAAGTTTCTGCTTGTGTTGCCTCTCTTGTCTGTCATTTTTGCACTTGCTGTGCGTACTCCTTAGGGTACCATCTAAAAGGTGTTCTTCCAGCTACACATGGTGGTAAAAAAGAAATTATCACTTATGATCAGTTGAAGTAATTGATAACCCTGAGACAAATTTTTAGCATTTCGTGAAGCCTAATCTCATATTGAAACAATTAAGAGGTTAAAGAGTGTAAAAATTAACCTGGATTGTAGCCTCCAAATATGACTTGAGCTATGGCATCTCCTTCAGCTTGACCTGGATATCCTACCCAAATTATCCCTCCTATTTTTCTCACATGTTTGGCAAAAGAAACATCAATTGGACCATCTGACATAATAACCAAAATGACTGTTCCTTTTTCTGCATTAACAACTTGGTTTACAAGCTTTTCTTAAAACCCTGGTAGCCGCTGCCCCAACAAGGCTCTCATCATCACATTTCCCACCGTTACACCCAGGCTCATATTTCACAGTGGAGACATACTTCTGTAGCCCTTGAAAAGTGCTTGTATAGCTACATGGTATGCCATGATAGTTGCTTATCAAAACTTCTGTGGCATATGCATTAGGTCCAACAATAGCCAAGTTCTTGATTTTTTTGGAGGACAAAGGAAGAGCTCCCTTTCTTGTCTAGCAAAACTATGCTATGCTTAGCAGTATCAAGTGCCAAATTCTTGTGATCGTTGCTCCACACATCAGAGGGACCAAGTTTTCCAAACTGGAGCAATTTAGGGTCACCATCAAAGAATCCAAGCCTCATCAGTGCTATGTAGTTGTATATCAAGGATTGATCTACCACAGGTACATCCAATTTTTTTCGAGTTAACGATATTCACTGGGTACTGTCCTAGAAATTTTCCACAATTCGGTTAAGACCTGCATGATCACATTGTAACACATAATGTAAGATCCATAATCCATTATAAAACCCTGGTTAAGGTAATTTTTATTTCTCACAAAATTATCACAACTGTTTGGCTGCAATTCCAGTACCTACTTTCAAGGCAAGGGCTGCTGCATCATCTAGTGTTGCAGTGTAATGGATTAGCATTGTAATAAATTTCAATCGAATCGCAATCTGAAACGATGTATCTGCTCATACAAGCAAAAAAAGAAAAAGGACACTCTCAATACAAGGATCATAGCCACCTCTAAATGGCTTATTTATGTACATGCCCCATGTGCTTTCAAAGTTGTCTTAGATTACCACCTATGCAATACCCCCTACACTTTTAAAAACTATCTCACGTTACCCATTCCGTCAATATTAAGAGACGTTCCATTACGTGGACCAACGGGTCCTCCCTAGGTGTTACTTGTCCACGGCTCCATCTAGGGTCATGGAACACATTAAACATTTGGAATTTCGCTTTGGAATCTGCGCCGAACCATGCTCATGTCCGACACCTAGTAGGTGCCAAGCACACTTGACCAAATTGCCCTTCTAAAATCCACAGCTTCTTTAGGTTTTGATTTCTACCGAAAATTCAATAGAGTCTCCCCTGTAAATTGCTCGTTTCCAAACTTTCTCACTTGTACAACAAGCAATTTAAATATCCACAACCGTTCAGCATGCACAAAAATAGAATTCATGCATCCAAACATCAAATCCATATGGCATCAGGCCTCTTTAAATCAAATAAATCATTACGCCAACTTAAATCGATCCCAACTTTTAGAGCAACATAAATACATTAACATATTTCAAAATAACGTAACTGAACAGCTTTTCAATCGTTTGGTCTCGCAGCTGCACCTAGTAATTCTAGGTTGCCTACGTACCCTTAACAAGGAATCAAGCCACACGTAGCTCTTCCTCTTTGTTTTATTGACTAGTTATGTACTCAACTTTTATGTTTACCACCTATTTTGGCAAAATCAATTATGAAAAGAAATTAAAAAAGAAAAGAAAACAATGAGAGGAGAATAACTTTCAAATTGGAAAAGAAACACAAGGAGAAAAAAATGGGTATATAAACTCAAGTAACGACATAGTAAAATAAAACTTGACTTAAGAAAATAATCGTGAATTATACAAAATTCTTAATACTTAAAAAACTCTTAATCCTTGTCTCTTAAGTAGAAAAACATATAATAAAACCTTCGCCCATAAATGCCAAGATAAAATCCTCAATATTTAGTTTAAAACATCTCAAAACTTGAATACTCTCCACCTAGGCATACCCCCCATTCACGATCCGTCAATTCTACACATTTTCTGTCAATTTCAATAATGTATCGTCAATTCCTTATGTCACAAATGTGACGCATCCTTGTAGGCCTCGAAGACATAAAGTCAACCTGAGGCTCAATCCTCGCAGAACTTTGGGGACACAAAGTCAACCCGAGTCGCAATCCTAGCAGAACTCGGGGGACGTGTAGTCAGCCCGAGAATGCACATTCTCACACCACACGGTTCGGGCATCCCCAAAACTCATGAGCATTGTGGTAAATGACAAAACTATTTCAAAGGCAACTGGGGGGTACTTTCGTGGTGGGTTTGAAAACTATAATCCGAAACTTATCATAAACTTTCCCTTATTCCATAAATCCATTTTCCAAATCTTATATCAACTTTCCAAAAATGGGTTCTCAACTACCCTTAAATATATGCCACATTTTGATAAGAACTAGTGTTCATAATCGATCATTTTCATGCCACTGAGTATATATGTAAAATTTAAACATATAATAAACATTTAGTTAATTTCTCGTCCACGTCAAAATCCAGTTAATAAGCCGTTCCCAACTTACACAACCAAACATAGTATAAAGCCCTTAGAAAATAAAAGCGATTTCCTAATAACCCATAAACTTTTGAATAACTCAATATCACTCAGTCATACAGTCTATGAATAAATAAATAAGTAACAAGATGAACTTTGAATATCAGGATATAACATGAACTCATAATCCAAACATAAACAAAATAGTCCACAAACAATCAAGCCTCGTTTACACGGTTGTCTAACACTTCTCGAAGGTGAAACTACCTCGGAAGACTCACAGTCAACCAAGGGTCAAACTTTCTAAATTGGGTCAACCGGGCCCAAGTGGCCCACGACCTCCCATTTCCGATCCGAGAGTTCCCACGGGTTCAACAAGGTTTACTAAACCTGTTCTGCAAGTATGGTCCGAATCAAACGGTCGGATCGCTCACGATCGCACGATCGGACGGTTATTGTTTAATGCAAACTTTACGTTATTAAATCGGAACATCCGGGGCTCCGATTCACAATCCGTGAAATCCTACACAATCCTAGAAAAGTCTAGATCAACACACATTGGAATGGAGTCAATCCAATTGTTTGAACATATCGAACTCAGATAACGCCTATTGTGTATTCGATCGACGATCAAACAATAACCCAATTCAAACCCGAGCATACCCTCATACTCGGGACGACGTGGGGATCATTTTAGGACTCAAGGACAGGCCACCAAGTAGCCCATGCACTGCCCCACTCGCTGGCAGCACGTGGGTGTCCAGAGTAGTTTCTGGTGATCGGAAAAACTTCAAACCACTAGTCAAGGCCTATACCTACATGATCAACACACTGAGTGGAGCAACTTTTGTTCTTGGACCTACCCCAAAGAGTAGACGGAAGTGGCTGGAATCAGGGGCCGAAACCGGCCAAAACTTTCATCGCTAATTTAACCACCAAAACGCAGAAATTAAACTAAACAACACAACCAGCAGCTAGAACACCTCGAGAGGATGAGAAAGCATACCAGGATCGTACAATTTGGTTGTCGGAATTGTTCAAACGAGCTTGAGAAACAAACGAGTGGATTCAGCCCAATTTTTGCAAAATCCAACGACTGTTCACAGTGGAGGCGGTAAAGGGGTGGGGTAGGACGGTAGAGTATGGCTAAGCGTTTTGGGACCGGCCCCAGCTTCGGCGGCAGCCAGTGGAAGTGCCGGCGGCTCAGAGAACTCATGGATGAACGAAAACAGTCGGGGGGGTTATACGCGAGAGAGAGAGAGAGAGAGAGAGAGAGAGAGAGAATGGTTTTTAAAAGAAAAATACCATTTTCAAATAATTACGATTTTGCCACTGGACTTATTTTTATCGTCGCTTCTTCGTTACAACTCCAATTTGAGCCTACTACGTGTCTATAGACTCATCTCGACGTGCCTTACGCAATGGCACTACTCAAATCTCCAAATTCTTTCCCGAACAAAAGTCAACTTTTAAACTATTAAAATATTAACGGAGTAAAATAGTCTTTTAATTAAATGAATTAATAATTAAATATTAATTTAGGATCAGGTTATTACAGCTCCAATATGTCAACCTGGCTCAACCAACATTGTCATGGCTCTAGCCTCGATTGACACAACTTGCCCCATCTCTAACCATATTGTTAAATTAAAATTAGCAGCAGATAAATGAATCATTGCGGGGAAACTAGTTGCAATAGGCACAGTACCATAAATTTTTTGAACTTGGCCCATATGTATGAAAAATGCATGTTATTTGGCTAACCCCTCCATCACACTAATTAGATTTTAACAACTGGTTGTTGCATCGTTTCCAACGAGATTTCTACGGGTTTTAAACAGGGACAAATCCAAGATTTTAAAATGAGGTGGGCTAAATTTATCTTAAGTACAAACTTACTAAAAGGATAGATTATTCGACGATACAAGTGAATTTCATTGATAACAAATAATACACAGTGGGACATAATGAGCCCTCCAAAATGCATCTAGTACAACCTTAAATAAAAACAACATTAAACTAAAAGAAAAAAGCCATTAGTTTTTTTAGTGATAGTCTAAAGGAGGAGGAGGTTTCTCACACATATACTAATAAATAATATATTCATAATGATGTTGAGAGATTAATATAACAAAAAAAAAGCAATTAATAAATAATTTTGTGAGTAAATATTAAGCAAATTTAAAGAGTGGTAAATGATTTTGTGGTGTGAAAATTTTGAAGAAATAGGTGGGTTTTATTGGGAAAATTGAATAGTACAAAAACTTTAGAAAAAGAAAGAAAACTGAAGTTGGTATTAATTTTTAAAAAATTGCCATTGGTATTAATTGCACTAACAGTATCGAATCATGCTTGAGTAGTTGGAGCAGCTTCAATGAGTGTGAGTATTACTTTTTAAAAATCAAACTGTTGGATGAGCAAAGGTTGGTTGAGTGCATGGGCGCTGATGAGCAGAATACATATAGCAGCTGCGCTGAGGAGAGTGAAGCAGCTCCTCAGTTGGGGTGTGTGGGATGTGCTTGGGTGGTCTGGGGATTAACGTTGGGCTATTAAAAATCAAATCACATAGGCTATAGCCCATGTTAGCATGTGCATAGGTCCGGCCCTGGTTTTAAATTGTCAGTTTGGTTTTTCAATTTTTTCCTTATTTTCCATCTGCCTCCATTTTCATTTTGTCCATCACGCACACCTCATTTTGCTTGATCTTATGGATAAATGCAAATGGTTAGTAAAATATGGAACAAGAAAAAGTATGAATAAAACAGTAAAATTTTTGCAAAATATAAATGAAAAGTTTGGTCATTTTATAATATTTAAATACAATTTATTTATCAATTTTTAATATATATTATTTTTACTCAATAATATGTTAAAAATACGTGTATTAAATATGAAGAATACATACATGTGTGTATAATATGTGTATTGTATGTTTTATTTTATTTTTTAAAAAGAGTGTATTTTACCGAGTCTTTAAGACGTGTACAAAAAACAGAAGTATTTCGAAAGTATATATACATACGTATATAATATAGGTTTGGAAATTAGGAAAAAAAAACGAAGAGTTGATAAGAGAAAATCTGGAAAAACAAAAAACAAAAAGAAAATGCAGAAGATTGAAAGAAAAATACCTTAAAAATACATGTATTTAAATGTTTTTAATAATTTAAGTGTTTGGTTAAATCAACTGAAGGGTTGCGGCGGTGAATGGAAGCATACGAAGCTCTTTAATCTATATATGTCAAGCAAAAGGCTGAAAATGGTAAACCATTTAAAGTATTAGAAAATGTCATTGGTTAATGCAAACATTAAAATTTGAAATTATTAATTAAATGAGGATAATATGGTAAATTCACACTTTTTCATATTAAAAAAAATTAAAAGAAAAAGAAAATTCATATAATGGAACTTATTTTTATGGAACACAACTTTTCATTATCTTTTTTAATTCTAAAATAAATTTAAAATTTTTTTGAAAAAATCTCTCCGGAGACCGTGCGAAGAGGCTAGTGAATATTTAAATATGCTTATATTGGCCTCATTTTGTTTTTTTTTATTTTATAGAAAATTATATGATTTACCATCAGTTAACAAACATAGACAGATCTCTCATTTCCTCACACATAGTTAATGTTACTCTCCTTTTTCTCACACGTACACAGATCTCTTCGAAAATTCTGTGGTACATCGATTGTACCGGTACAGCCAATCATCTAAGGGCTCATATTTCATTTTAAAAATCAAGGGTTGAGATTAAATGACCTGATGACTTGTTCACCCCTTCCTTATTAAAGAGCACGTGAAATACACGTGACTGAGAAAACAAACGAAAAAGCTTTGACGAATGTGAGGAAGACTTCGCATGCACTGGAGCTGCTTCATCTTTGCAATATCTTTCTATCTCTCTAAAATCCAATCCTCATCTTTGTCCACAAGTCGGAGTCTGAGCGTCTCCTCTCTGCCATGCAAGAACCATCGAAGAGGAGACAGAGTGGGGTGATTCAGTCGAGTTCGACGAGGGTGGTGTGAAAGGCCTTGATTCGAGTAGAAATTCAACAACTTAGTATTGAATTTGGAGTGAGGATGTCTGTGTTGCAGAGCCTTTGATGGGAGAAAAAATTCAACGCCTTGGACTGAATCTTGGCGAATTTGTTTTTTCCTCTTTTAATAATTTTTAATATTTTCTCTTAATAAAGCGAAAAAAGGGTAACGTAGCTGATTTGCTGATATGCTTGTTCTAAGAATGCATTACTATCTTTTATTTTTTCAATGGATTCTCTTTATAAAAAAATTAAGAAGACTCACTTTATGTACTAAAAAGACTCTTTGATTCGTTTTATATTGACTATCTAATGGAAAAGACGGTTAATAGGATTATTGTACTACAAGGAGGCTGTCTCGAGCAAAGCGAGCCGGCCAGTAGCAGTCTAGAGAAAGAGAAACCAGTGGAACCTTCAACATCCTAATATGAAGAGTAAACGGAACGGTAGTGAGGCTCCCCGACAAGAGCCGAACGATATTTCAATAAAAGATGTACAATTAGTCAAATACACATAAATACATTATATTCTCCCTTTTAGCTTTTTTAGTAAGAGTGAAAAGGTGAAGAAGCACGAATAAAACATGCAAGAGTAAAAAATTGCATTTCTACTGGAAGCAGACAGCTATGGATAAATTCATTCAACAAGATCTGTTCGGATCGGACCAGGATGAATGGGATTGGTCTGACCCCTCGCTCAGATGTAAGACTCCCGCTGCCGACAGATGTCCTATGTCACATTTCATGAATAGCTATGCCCGAGAATTAATGAATTGTGATATAGCGCCGAATCAGCCACAGCTCTATTCCCGACTTGGGTCTTTCATTCGGGCCCTCTTGGGACACCCTGTGGGCCGATGCGTATAAGCTTGGGCTTTCTTAACGTGGCTCATTTGACGACTTAGTAGATGGATGTCACGAGTCTATTGGCACCCAGGATACCCAATCGATCGTTCCCCGATTGACACCTGATAGCCCTGAGTCCTACCCGATCATCCCCAGATATAGATGCGTCACACAGGTCACTCTCTCCTGATCCGCAACCGTGACTGAAAGCAGTTTCTTAGGCGGCTGTGCCAAGCTTACTTGAAATTAAAAAAGGGACGGGAAGAAAGTAGTAGTGAGTAAAAGTGCTTGGAGAAGCGAGATGCATATTCTAGCTAGCTAGCCAATTAATGAGGTGCTGCCGTCCGCTAATAGCTTCTCTCTTTTCTTAAATGCGCGATGCTTAACAAATGCAGAAGTGAATCGCGATCAGTCGAATTCAAATCAACTAGGAGTGGTTTTTTACTGATTGATCTCTGTTCGAAGCCTGAAGAAAAAAACAGAGAACTTGATCGACAAGGCCTCGGGGCTACCTTTCCTTCAGGCATTCCTACCAGGTTGGGTGTGTTTGTACAGGAGAGTTGACGGTGTCAACAACCAAATGGATGCTACGTTCCTCTACCTCCGCTGCCTCCTCTTTCTCTTCTGCTTTCTCTCCCATACGAAAGCTGGCGCCGTGGACGAGCGTCAACTTCTTTTGAAGTTCAAGTCTACATTCGAAAATTCAAGCACCAACAGCATCCTCAACACATGGAACTCCTCAAATCCTGTGTGTAGTTTCAGCGGAGTTGCCTGCAATGGAAAGAAGTTCGTTCGAGAAATCGACCTTACGGATCAAAACTTATCCGGGTTTCTGGTGCTGGACGACATATGCCAGCTCAAGTCATTGGAAAAGCTGGTGTTGAGAAACAATGCTTTTCATCCACGTCTCTTCCCAAGTGAAATCTTCAGCCTCAAGAATCTCACATATCTTGACTTGGCGAACTGTAGCCTCCAAGGACCAGTTCCGAAGAGTATTGGAAACCTCTCGGAGCTTACACTCTTGGACCTATCTTATAACAACATGGTCGGGGAAATTCCATCCGAGGTTGGCAAGCTCACCAAGCTATGGCAGCTCGAGCTCTACTGCAACCACTTGAACGGAACGCTTCCTTTCGGGCTAAGAAACCTCACAAACCTGGAGAATTTCGACGCCTCAAAGAACTTACTCGAAGGGAATTTGTTGGAGTTCCGATTCTCGAAGAACATAGTTTCTTTGCACTTGTACGAGAACAATTTATCTGGAGAAGTGCCAGCTGAGTTTGGAGAATTCAAGAAGCTTGTGGACCTCGGTTTGTTCAAAAACATGTTGACCGGTCCTCTGCCTCAGAAACTAGGCTCTTGGTCTAAATTTGACAGCGTTGATCTATCTGAGAATTTCTTGACGGGAACTATTCCGCCTGATATGTGCAAGATGGGGACGATGACTAAGCTTTTGTTCGTGCAGAACAAGCTCTCTGGCGAAATTCCTCAAAATTACGCCAAGTGTACGACGTTGAAAAGGTTCAGAGTCAACAACAACTTGCTCTATGGTGTTGTTCCTCCTGGGATCTGGGGCCTGCCTAATGCAGAAATCATTGACATTAGATCGAATCGATTTGAAGGTCCGATTACTTCTCATATCGGAAAAGCTAGGACGCTTCCTTTGCTGTTCGCGAGTTATAATGAACTATCTGGTGAATTGCCAGATGAGATTTCCAAAGCAACATCTTTGGTGTCGATTGTTTTGGATAACAATCGCTTTTCGGGTAGAATTCCGAGGAGTCTTGGTGATCTGAAGCATCTGAGTATTCTGTATTTGCAAAGCAACATGTTCTCTGCGTCAATACCAAAGTCTTTAGGAAGATGTTTTCTCCTGAGCGACGTGAACATGGCCCACAACTTGCTTTCTGGTGAAATCCCGTCATCCTTAGGCTCACTTCCATCCTTGAACTCCCTGAACTTATCACATAATCAGCTTTCCGGTCAAATTCCAGAAAAATTAGCATCCTTAATGCTTCTTGACCTGACGCACAACAGACTCACTGGTGTCATACCAAAAACTTTGTCGATTGCAGCCTACAAGAGTAGCATTTCTGGTAACCCCGGTCTCTGCAGCATGTACATGAGCTCCTTCCCGCAATGTTCTCCTGGTTCGGGCCTGTCCAAGGATGTCCGGATAGTCATTATTTGTTTCTCAGTAGGCTCAGCAATCTTGCTTGTGTTACTCATCTGCGCCCTGTTCTTAAAGAAGAGGAAGGATGAAGAGCGTACATTAAAGGAAGACTAAATTCATTCCATGTGTTGAGCTTCACTCAAAATGAGATTCTTGATTCCATTAGGCAAGAGAATCTAATTGGAAGAGGGGCTTCTGGAAATGTTTATAGAGTTTTACTTGCTGATGGTAAAGAACTCGCTGTAAAACACATATGGAACACTGATCCAAGTGGTGGGAAGTCCAAAGCATTTGATGCTGAGGTGGCGACCTTGAGCTCAATTAGGCATATTAATGTGGTGAAGCTGTATTGCAGCATTACTAGTGAGGGCTCAAGCTTTTTGGTCTATGAGTACCTGCCCAATGGCAACTTGTGGGATCGGCTTCATACGTCGGAGGATATGAAGCTTGCTTGGGAGCCAAGGTATGAGATAGCAGTGGGAGCAGCCAAAGGACTGGAGTATCTGCATCATTGCTTGGAGAGGCCTATGATGCACAGAGATGTCAAGTCTAGTAACATTTTACTGGATGAGCTCTTGAAGCCTAGGATTGCTGATTTTGGGCTTGCCAAGATTGTTGAGGCTAGTGCAGGCAGGGACTCTACCCATGTTGTTGCTGGAACACATGGCTACATTGCTCCTGGTAATTAATGAAATTGTCTCATTTATTTTAATTTCTTTAGTTTTGAGTTAATTATTTGTATTGTGCTAAAGTAACTGTTAATTATGCAGAATATGGATACACCTACAGAGTGAATGAGAAAAGTGACGTGTATAGCTTTGGAGTGGTGTTAATGGAGCTAGTGACCGGAAAGAAGCCGATGGAGCCAGAGTTTGGTGAGACCAACAACATAGTGAGCTGGGCATGCACTATGCACAGTAGTAGAGAGAGCATACCAAGTATGGTGGACTCATATCTTCCAAAGGCCTGCAAGGAAGAGGCTATTGAGGTGCTAAGAATTGCCATGCAATGCACAGATAGGCTTCCTGAGCGAAGACCCTCCATGAGAAGTGTGGTTCGCATGCTAGAGGAGGTTCATGAATTGGGATTACAGGATTAAGTGAAGGTCTTTTAATATTTTAGGAATCTTGTCAAGTGCCTTGGTGTTGAATTCACCAGAAATAGCCAGTCATGACTTGGGTCTAACATTGTACTGTAGAACAGTCTTGAACTTTCCATGATCGTCAGTCTAGCTTTCACTACTTTTTGATTATCAACATATGATCCTCCAACTGTCAAGGTGTTTCTCTTTGTTGACAGTTCTTGAGTGAACTCTACCACTGCTGTTAGCAAGTCACCTTTGTTTGCCCTAAAAAAATTTCACAACAAGAAGATATTAGTGTCATACTTTTCCCTTAACGCGGTGACATAATGACTGTAATTAACTCAAATCTGCACTTTGGCCTCCACAAAACTTGTTATATTTGTTAACTATCGGACTGTGATTTGAACTTATTATTGAATTTATTTTATTAATGTCGATTGAGTTCAAAATGGAAAGACCTACAGAATTATTGAAGCATCAGAATTGAGACTCTTCATGTGATGCCTGCACTGCACTTGGAGAACCAGCTAGAAGCAGTTTTGTACTCTGTCTCCATACCCCAAGGGCAATGCTTGAAATCCCTACAGCTGCTGAAAATTTTATTGCAGGGGACTGGATCAAAGCCACAGGCATGGACAGAGCAGCATATTCTTGGCGTATTCGAAACCAGAGCTGAAACCAAGATGAGTGAGTTTTTTTTTGGTTCAGATTATAAATTATTCTCATGCACAATAAGATAGGCTGACTAGTCTCTGTCTCTTTAAATTACAATCTGTTCAAAGGTGTGGCAAGTAGAAATATGTGTGCCCTGAGGAAATGAGCTATTTCTGTCACAGGAATGTTCTTTTTTCTGTCATAGATTTCTTATCAAGAGCACCAATTCTTGTAGTATTTCAAACCAAAAATGTCTCAAATCAAGGTTATTCGGACCTAGAAAGAGCTATTATTCTACTCTTGGGTTTGATTGTAATCTCATGATCAGACTAGTTCAATTTACCATGTAAACATTTAGATAATTAGAAAATTGTTGAGTCATCTGATTATCTACATATTCGTTTCATATTTATTTAGTGAACTGCATTTTATTTTGCACATTTGAGATGACCAAACAACTTCTGATATGGATGATTCTCTTACAAGGCCCTTAAAGGATGGCCTGCATTTTTTGTGCACATCTTAGATGACGAACCAATTTCGAATATAGATATTTTCTCTTACAAAGATGACTTAAAATATAGATGTTTTGATCATTGAAATACACTGTGGAGTAGCCTAAGAAAAACGTGCAATTTTCTTACAATTTTCTAAAGAGAAGCAGCTATCACTCCAGTTAGGTTTGTCTAGCTCTGTCAAGTGGCACATTTATGTGGTTTTCACATTTGTCTTGTAATCCTTGTGGGTCTCATTTTATCATATGATTTTAGGTTTGCTGGCCATAATCATTTGTTGTCAAGATAAAATCTCTGATGCATACAGAGAGTTGCTTCCTGTACTTTCCGAGGCTCTTAAATCTGGAACCGCGACATTAAAGGTAGTTTAATATGCTTGATATGCACCTAATTTTTATTAATAGGACTTCTCCAAGATGTATGAATCTCAGACTTAAAATGTTTTCATGCAGATGTTGAATTGTTTGGCTATTGTGGGTTTTGTTGGTTCAACTAACTCGGAGAGGAGACCGAAAGTGCCATGCAAATTATTTTGGAGTTCATTCATCCTGAATCTGTCAGTGATGTATGTGCACCTTTAGCTTAACTTTAGCTTAACAATTTCTTATTTAACTTCACTTCACCAGTCCCTATTTAGTTTCTCAAGTATTTAGGTTATAAATTGTTACAAATGGTATCAAATTTTAGAATTAAGAACTAAAGTTGTTTTGTTGAACTGTTAGGTCAACACAAAAGAGCATTCGGCAGAGGTTTTGCTGCAATATATTCTTGGCTGTTTCTTCTTACAAGCATGGAGGGATGGAGACTCAGCCACAACTCTTGGAATGGGTAAAATGTTAACTCAAAATAATCAAACTGATACAGAGCCGTTTACTACTTCTCAAACCGATTAGAGCACAATGATAAGTTAGTTCGTGTAGCAGCTTGTGAAGCACTGGCCTTGATATTTGAAACTGGTAGTCTTGATAAGTTTTGGAAGGAAGCGAAGGATCATAGCAACTGTTCACATATGCAACAATCACTGAGACCAGCTCCACAAGAGGCTCGGCTGCCAGAAGGGTGTGAGAGTCTGGACTCACTCCCAACACCAGAATAAGCCAATAATTTCTCCAAGGCATTGGGCTTGCTCCAAGAACTGATCGAACAGCTGCTACTTGCAGACCAACCGCCTTGCTTTGTGGCTGACATGTTTTTCCCTTGGGCAACTGATGCTGCTGCAAAAGTTTGCATTCCAAGGCTGGTTTTTCATGGGACTAGCTTCTTTGCTTTGGCTGCATCAGATTGTGAGAGGCGATATGAGCCTTTCAAGAGCATGTCATCTGATTCAGGACCCTTTGTCATGCCCAATCTTCCAGGGGAGATCAAGATGACAGGAGCCCAAGTGCCTTATTTTCTGAAGGAGAATATTGATAATGACTTGACACAATTAATGAAACGTGCTCAGGAATCTGAGGTGAGGAGCTATGGGATTGTTGTCAATAGTTTCTATGAGCTCGAACCTGTTTATGCACATTATTACACAAGGGTCTTGGGGAGGAAGGCATGGCATATTGGTCCTCTTTCTCCGTGCAACAGGGACAATGAGGAAAAATCATAAAACAACGTACTAGTTCATTGGTTGCATTTGGATTTAGTTCATTAGTTGCATTTGGGTATGGATCGGCATGCCTAAACGAACTTATCTAAATTGCAAACTACCCCGCAAAAATTGTTCTATTTTTTCGTTTATTTCCCTTTAGACTATCGCTTGTATAAAAATAAAATTCTAGCCCATTTGATCAATGATTTTCCTTAATTTTCTAATTACTAACCAAATAAAGCATACAAATTCTGTAACAATCAACAACTTGTTGTAAACTAAGGACTAGTTATATCCATAGGCAGCTGGTTCAAGAAATTGGTGGCATACCAACCAATGGAAAACACTACAAAATAATTTACAGGCACAACAATCGGCTGCAAAAACATCTATGGAAGAGTGATATACATCAGTGAGTCTATCTTGAGTTGCTTTGAGGTCCCACTTAGTTTGGCAATTAACAAACCAATGTCAAGTGTCAACCAATTCATTTGTTCTTGCTGTCCTCGCCCATCATATTCTTTTGACACTGTCGCCATGAACAAAAGCCACAAATCCCTCACTTGCAAGTGTTGTGATTGCAGTCCTCAGCTGAAACACCAATAACAGCATAACCATCAGCATGAAAATTCAGAGAGAGAGAGAGAGAGAGAGAGAGAGAGATAGAGTATAACATCATTGAGGTGGACTTCATTGCCAGAGCTCTGCGTCTTCAGCTCCTCCAGCAACTGGAGGAGATATTAAACAAATGAAGATGTTAGTTTTAGACAGATTTAAATTTATAGTTTGCACATCTTGTAAATAAGCACACCTCTAACAAGCGCATTGAGGGTCCCCCAAGTTGCAACTTTTCCATAATTATGTTGCGAGCTGCTGATACCAGACTTTCCCGTCTCATTCTTTCACTTGCCGAAATTCCAGTAGTGATAAGATCCATGTCGATTGTTCCTAAGTATGAGTCAAAAACGATGTTAAACTGTTTGTCTTCGTGGAAAGTATAATTAAGAAAAACAGACAAGTTCTGAAATGCTATACCGGTGGAGTGATCGGTTGCTGATTGCTGCATTGCAACTTCCAAAAGCCGGAATGCCTCCACAACATCATGCTTTTCAACCTGGCATACATCAAGTCATAATTTTATTTATTTTAGTCCTGATGAATCAAATTGTAAATGGTTAAGACACAATGCAATCTTTGCTAACCCATTCTGAGAAACGAATTCGAGCTAGAGCTTCACTAAGTCGTATCAAACTCTCAATCTGCCTAGGTGTTGCTGTTATCACCTGTTAAGTGATCAATTAAACGAACATGATTGATTACAGAATTGAGGAATGTGTAAATAGATCTTTAAGATAAAAAAACACCTAAAAATGGCCACATTCAATGTATTTTGCAAATAAAGCAAGCAAAAAAAAAAGGGAAAGAAAGAAAAGAAATCACATTAAAACCGCAAAAGGAATCATCACTTGATGGGAAAAATATTATATCATGTGACTGATGTTACAAAGGATGGTAACATTCTTTTATTTATTCTGCTAAACAAGCACACATGATGAGAACCATGTAGGAAAATTTGTATAACTGCTACCTTTTTGCTACTGCCTGGAAAATTTCCTCTCCTCCTCAATTCAACATAACCTCTAGTCAACTCTTCAGCAGCTTCATCAGATAATTGTGGATGAATATGCTTTCGCGCATATCCCACATATGCAGTCAACGTGGCAAGGTCTAAGACATCCTGCTGTATTGTCTGCAAGTGGAGACATGGAATTTTAAAGATGAGCAAGAGATATGCTAAAAATTAGTCTTTTCAATAAGTGAAATCACAAATTGATCATACCTCAGGATTCTCAAAGTGTAATGCAACAATATGCTTTGCAAGGCGCCTGTCTGTATGCTCATCAGCCTTGTCAAGGAGTAAGTAGATCAGATCGAACCTGAGAAAAATTTAACGGCCAGAGAGCAGCTCAAAATCGTTAAAGAACTCTAGTGATGTTGTCAACAACTTCATAATTTTCAGGTGCTATTAGGCTTCGATGACAACATTCAAGAATAAAGAACTTTTACAAACCATGCAAGATGACGAATTTGACATTCTTTACACCAATAAGTCATTAAATAAGACAAACATATGCAAAGCCATAGTTAAATCATCGTTTAGGCCCTTTTGATATGCTCGTGGCATGGCATAGGTATCTTCTTACCTAGATAATAAGGTAGGAGGGAGGTGTATGTTGTCAATTACTGATAAGCGAGGATTATAGCGTGAACCACTTGGATTTGCACAAGCCAAGACTGAAGTCCTAGCATTAAGGGAAGCAATGATTCCTGCCTTTGCTATCGAGACAGTTTGCTGTTCCATCACCTGGGGGAATATAAGTGTATTTAGAAAGAAACAATCAATGGCTAAATAGTTGCACATAAAGGAATACCAGAATGCATTTGCTGAAAATGTACCAAGTAGTATATACTTAATACACCTAGCATACTGACATACTGTGGACATCTCTTATATGCCAAAAATAAATGAATGGTTTCACAAAAACAGAAACAAAATGGAAATTAAACTGTCAAACTTTAAAACATATAATCTTGGATCTTCAAATTGTCAAACATTAAAGCATATATTCTGGATTTTCACATATCACTCAACAAGATGTAGAAGATAAAATTTCCAAATTTATAAAAAGAGATAATTTTATAAGCATTTGAAAGAAAAAAATGCACATATCTCCCACATATATATATATAATAAGTGACGAAATAACCAACCTCATGTAACATGCTCCTCGCACTGTCAGACATTTTGTCAAATTCGTCAATGCAACAAATGCCTCTATCACTTAAAACTAACGCTCCACTCTCTAAAACCTGAAGAATCATAACATATTTCCACTCAACTTCATATATTTGTACGAAATATTCAAAAAATAATTTTTTTTAAACAAAAACATACTGTTTCCCCTGTTTCAGGATCTTTCGCAACATAAGCAGTCAAGCCAACAGCAGAACTCCCTCTTCCACTAGTGTATATTCCACGGGGAGCTAGCTTGTGTATGTACTGGAGCAGCTGGGACTTGCTGGTTCCAGGATCACCAACAAGAAGAATGTTAATATCACCACGGAAGCGAGCACCAGATGGCAACTTCAAAGCATTCCCACCAAAAATCTGCATTTACAGCAATTAACAATAAGAATCAGTTCAGCAAATAATTAAAGACAAACGAATTTGCTCAATTAATCAACAAAATACTTAAGGAATCAAATAGTTAAATATTTAAAGCACCTGGCAAAGAAGGCCTTTTTTGACATCATCTAACTCCCAGATGTTTGGTGCTAAAGACCTGGTTAATCGATCATATATATCAGGCTGTTTTGCCAGCTCTTTCAATTGTTCCACCTGCAATTCCAGCAACAATATGATCAACACAGACAATACAAGAAAAGCCTGATGCAACCGCAAATGAATAAGATAGTATAAATTGATGTACCTTTTTTTCATCAAAAACAATTTCATCCGAGTGTCCAGCCACAGAATTGTCAACTTCCACCGGATTTTGATCCTCTGCCAGCATTCTTGACTTGTCAGATTTTTTTATATGCAGACAATCAATGTATGTCTGCAATCAAAGAAAAGGATTGTTACATCCAGGCCCCTAGAGTGAAAAAGGAGCTTAAAATTTCACAGCCAAAAAGATAGAAACATGCCTTGAACAATGATTTTACAGTTCTCTGAGTTGGTCCAACTCTAACGGTCATAGCCCTGTATATCCCAGTAACCTATTGGAAAGGAACACATTAAAGATAAGAAAAAATTTCTGTATCTTTCTTAGGGTCATGCAAACGGTTACAACATGGACTTACCTCAATTCTATCACCGGGTTTTCCAGCATCAACCAGTTTGTCATGCATCAACAAGCTCACCGTATGCGGTGTTCCTCCTTCAGGGATCTCATCAGGAGTCTCCTGAAGCCTCACAATCTGTTTATCAGTAAATCTGATTCAAAAGTAGTACCCATTAGATGTACATTCATCGTAAAACTCTATTTTCAAACTGTAAAAGTCATATTGTCAAATCAGTTGTTAACTGAATCAGTTTATTTCACAAGTTTTGTTACTCAGTAACTCTCCTTTCAGTTGTATTTCATAGAATAGATTGTGCCATTTCATAAACTGTCTTGATCAGAAGTCTGAACCTATTGAAGTTTAGGACAAAGGGTTTAGATTTGAATGTTTGCCACTTCAGCCACAACCATGAGTATCATGATCTTTTGAACTTTGCTTCAGTTTAAAAACAATTACAGGCGCTGCAAGTTTTATTTGTCAATTTTTCAATATTAGCATTCAAAGGCTCAGAAATACACAGGTGTCCATGATCCGTTAAAAGCAAAATTTTATATGCATCTCAAATGCATCAGTGGTTTAAGCAAAATTGCAAAAAGAAGGGAGATCTCCAGAGATGGAAAAGGTGAAATTAAAGAGGACAAGCATATTAAACACCTTAAAGAAGGATTGAAAATTTTTTCTTTCCCCCTATGTGCAAACATACTTCTAGAAACCATCAAACAAAAGACCAAATGATAGTCTAACAGCCAAACCAACACATAATTTCAGGCTTAAATTCACGCTACGACCTTGAAAATTCCAAATTAATGCCACGAATTACCTGCATCTGTTGTGAACAAGTGTCATAGAATTCCTGGCTTGACACTCTTCCTTCAAGCATATTGTAGGCTCAGTTATGCGACCTGATAGCACTCAAAATTCAACATATAAGAGAGGAATCCATCTACATCAACATGAAACAAATAAACATGTGATCCCAAAGAGATTACCTTTCTCTACCGGAAGAGGGTCAGAGTAGTAGCCACACACAAGGCATCTAAATATTGCTTCCCTTATCTCGGGTATTATTGAACTAGACCGAATAATCATTCCCTTCAATGAAACCATCCTCTCAATGTCTAGTAATACATTTACTCAAATCAGTCCACATATCCAAATACACATTACATTGATCAACAAACAAAAAGCCCAAAACCAAAAGAAGGAAAATTGGATTGAAATACAAGAAGATAAAGAAAACTAACCAGATGGGTTGAGATTTCTCATTGAAGTGGATGTTTTGAGATTATAAATCCGAGTTTGAATGTGCTTTTCGAACAACGGGTTTATGACGGGCAGCATTTCCATCAAAACAATATCGAAAATTGCAAGAACCTCAAGTGGGTATCTGACCATCTTCGCATACAAGTCCGAATCATAATCAAACACATTGCGTGCATCAACATCGAGCGAATCTTCTTCCATTTCAATAACTCTCTTGATGGCCTCAATGTACTTCCCTTCCGTAAGGTACTCACTCTCCGTATTCCACTGCGACTCGTCCCGAAAATTCTTCAGGAACCTAACGATCGCCACCTTAACGTCGTTCACGCTGATGTTCGTGCCCCAAACGAACGTGGGCCTGTCCTCGTCCATGTCGTAGCCGTCGCCGCCTTCCGAAGACGGCGGGACGTCACCGTCAGTGGAGGAGGGGGTTGGAGCGGCACCGTTTTGGCCATTGGCGCGGCGGGTGCGCGATGGGGTTGGGGTTGTTTCGGAGCCGGAGAACCGGGACCGGTTGGCCCTTGGAGTTGCGAATTCCGAAGACGGCGTAGTGGATCGGCGCCGCCGTCTCTGCCGGGAAGCGCCGGCCGGGGAGGAGGAGAGTGTGTTGCCGATTGGGCTCGAGAAGGAGTCATCGGGAGATGAAGGTCCTGTGAAAAAATGAAATGAAATGAAATTGAGATTTACAAATACATGAAAACAAACGATTCTCGGGGCGAGAAAGAGAGAGAAGGAGACTTACCGTTGTTGAAGTCGGCCGGCGTAGAATCAGAAGCCATGGCTAGAGAGAAAGAGAGAGTTGGGGTTTGGAGGGTTTGGGCAGCACAGAGTGTTTGCTTTGTCTGTTGGGTTAGGTTTTGGCGCCAAGAGGTTATGATTTTCCCGCCAGAAATCCTGGCTTGGGTTTTGGATGGTTTTCTTCTTCGTTTATAGGACTGGGCTTGGATGGGTTGAGGCCCATTAAGAGCACTTCCACCCTATGGGCAAGGACAAAACAAGTGTTGTCAGTATTTATGTGAATAATGGCAGCCTTTGCAATTTTGTTTCCATCCCTACTGGCAGGGGCAATTACTATTCACTTTAATTTATTTTCTATAAGATTTTCGGTTGTCACGTGTCACTATTTATTATAAAATTTCCTGATAAGATTTTTGGATTAAATTTTCGGATAAGATTTGCGGTTGCCACGTGTCCATATTTATTATAAAATTCACATCTCAAATTTTAGATAAAATTTTCGGATAAGATTTTCGGTTGTCATGTGTCCATATTTATTATAAAATTCTCATCTTACTCATCATACAATTGAAATACCTACACATCATACAATTGAAAATCATCATAGTTTGACACAATCACGTACAAGGACGGCTCAATCATTGGCGGAGGCGGTCACCAAATCACAACGTGGGTGAGTATTTTCCTTCGGATGACGTAATAGTACCATTATTTCTGACACAGAACGCACTATGGGAATCGACTGCGAGCATTGTTCACTTAAGGAGCCATGTGTAATGGTTTTCCTCTTTTTTGTTTTACCTTGAATAATCTTTTTTTAAAAATGAAATTGAAAATGCAAGAAAATATCAACAACAAAAAAATGACATTAAATTGAATAAAACAATACTTAAATTTTTTTTACCTCGTCACCAAGATTTTGACCGCTTCAAACATTTGTCCACGAGCCTCCGACTTCGATGGAAGAGGCCATTTGTATTTTTACACAAATGGAAGCAGTATAAAATTTGGTGTGGAAAGTGAAAAATATTGGAAGGAGAAGAATTTGTATGAAGATTTGGTGTGAAAATTGAATAATATTTGTAGGTATTTATAGAAAAAAAATTCAAGAATTTTTTTATATTTGTAACAAATGCTTTCTATTTTTTTTAGCCAAAAAAAGGGCAGTCGTTGGATTGGAGGACATTTTTTGATCAGAGCCTCCAAGAGAAGCCACGTGACTTGTAGCGGTTGGTTTCTAGCAGTGCTAATGCCAACCATTGAGTCAGCGCTGACGTCAGCTGCCAGAAGGCAAGACGACAGGCCAGATCTTCCCTTGGGCTTGACCAGGCTCGTGGGTTCCACGCCTTGTCCTGGCTGGGTCTTTCACACTGGAGTTGCCTTCCGGGCCTAGGGCCCCCTCCTGCTTAGGCTAACCCATTGCGTTGGAGCTGCTCTAAATGAAAGGATCGCAGTCTCTTGCCACGTGTGTTATTACAATGAATCAATTTACAACATTAAAATGTGCCATACAAATGGAAATTTCAAATTTGATCCATGATTACTCACAAATAATCTAATACTGTTGTTTTCTTCTCAACAATGAATTCAAGATATGGTTGTCACATACTGACAAGAATTTTTTACGTCCATTGGGGCTGAGTTGTCAGATTTGGTGGAGTCATTCTATAGTGAGGGCCTTAGATGAGGTCCTATCTCTTAATCGTTTGATCAAACTAACCAATTTGATCAAACATCTAACTAATTTGATCCAACGATTAAGAGATAAGATCTCATATAAGGGCCTTAGATAAGGCACTCATTATAGAATTCTACGATTTGGGTGATCTGGTTAGTGGGCGAGTCACTGATGACATGATCCAGTTGTCGCTATGAGAGTTTAATGCAGAAGAGATACAAGCTGCTTTGTTTCAAATGCATCCTTCAAAGGTGTCGGGGCCAAATGCCATGTCCCCTTTGTTTTATAAAATAAAAAAATAAAAAATAAAAAAATTATGGGATGTGGTTGGTCTCTGCTAGTGGTGATTAGCTCACTCAAAGTGCTTTTGTTCATGGAAAAACAATATCCGACAATTCTATTATAACTTATGAATACATTTAATTAATTATGATTACATTTAACTCATTATAGTTGCATTTAATTTATTATCAATGGCCCAATTGATAGGCCATCTATGGCTTTCCCATAAACCAAACTTGTAATATATTCTTCTAATTAAGAACCTACACATAGCATTATGGAGGGCAAGACTAGAAAAGCGCAAGATACTAGAAAAGGAAAGATCTTCAGGCACAAACATGCTCTCCTCCTATTTCATTTCAAGGATTGTTGTTGATCTCCCCATGGAGCTTGTGCTTCCAACCCTATTTGTCATCATAACATATTGGATTATTGGGGTCAAGCTTAGAGCAGGACACTTTTTCCACACCTTGCTTATTCTGCTACTCAGTGTATTGGAAATTTTTTCAAAATTTAAATGTCTTTGGGCTTCCCATGATTTTTTGGGCCTCAACAACAGGTAAATTTGTAGGTACATTATATTGTATTGATAATAATTTACCTATTATATTTTGTTGGGACAAAATTTGAGGAATTTATTGGTCGAAAATTGAAGAATTTTTTTATTGGCCGAAAATTTAAGAATTTGTTTATTGGTCGAAATTTTAGGGATTAGAAGGAATGCCCAAAAAAAAACTTGAGTCATTGATATGCTATAAATGAGGAAGTATTAATTAGAAATAAGGGACTTAATGACATGTTGAAAGTCGTCAGGTTGACTTATTTGAAGTATGGTGGCAAACAATGTAAATATGTACGAGTACTATGCCCTATTATATATTTTAGTTTGAATTTGGGTTATATATTTTAGTTTCAAAATTATTAGATTGATATCTAGGAAATAGAAATTGTAGGGGCCTATATTAGACCAGCCCTTATTTTACAAGTTTTCATGTTGTAATATTTTTCAAGTTCTGTGCAGATAATATTTTTCTATTGGTGTTGTAGGTAGGCATGTAAAATGGGTCGAGCCGGGCCAATTGGCCATAAAAAAGATTAGCCCAGACCTTACCCAATCACGGGCTTTTTCCACCCTAAGGGGCAAGGTTGAGTCTGTCATATTTTAAATATGGTAAGCTAATACACTACTCAATGGCCTAAATTTTTTGGGTTCATGAGCGAGCTATGAGCTGAGCCTATATCGACCTATCAAATGGGTCAGTGATAATAAATTAATTGTAATTATAATGTATTAAATTTAAGCATAATTAATACTAGTTTAATTTTATCATAATATCACTCATAATTACTAGTAGTTTTTACGAACCCGGCACAACGTCATCAATATAGGGTTCCATGCTAATTGGTTATTTAGCTCACAAGGAGGATTGGAGTTACAAAGAAAAAGTTTTGTAGGTTCTTAATTAGAATAATATATTACAAGTTTGGTTTATGGAAAAGCCATAAAAGGCCCATATGATTAGTATAGAAATCTGTCAAGTGAGTACAAAATAATATTCTAATCCTTTAATTTTACAAGTTTTTATGTTGTAATATTTTTCTATTGATGTTGTAGGTAGGCATGTAAAATAGGTCAGGTCGGGTCATCTATAACCTAAAAGGCATTAGCCCAGACTCTACCCAATCACATGCTTTTTCGGCCCTAAGGGTTGAAGGAGCAAGGCCCAGCTTGCCCTATTTTAAATATGCTATTAACGAGCCAATGGGCCGAGCTTATATGGACCTATCAAATGGGCCACTAAAAGAGTAGGATTATACAAGCAAAAAGTAGGAAACATTAATACAACACAATCTAGTTGTTCCGTAACTTGGCTTATAGACAGTAAGTGATTTGACAAAGCATGAACAAGTAAGGTGTGGTGCAGAGATAAGGAGGGAGTGAGAGTAATGGAACTTGCCCTTGTCACGAGTGTGGTTTCACCATTCGCAATAACTACACTATCTTGCTTCTTAGTCTTCTTAGCAACTTCTATAATTTTGTTGTTGTTGAAGTTTTAGGTTTAAAACTTTTTAATTTTGAGTTCAGATTTTTTGACACCCTTTTAGCAAGACCCTAAGTGATTATTCGAATAAGAAAAATAGTTTACCTTTTGGCCATTGTCACAAAGTGTGTAAAATATTTTATCTTTTGGTGTTTATGATTTCGAATACTTTACTTTTTGGTGTCAGCTACGCAATGTTTATGATATTTTAGAGACTACGTTGATGTGTCTATTTTTATGTTAGTGTATGTGCGCATGCGCAAATACACTATGTTGTAGCGTCTATAACAGTTTGTATTGCATTGTATACTTTGTATTGCACATCGTTGGTTTTGTCTATACTCTTTTTTATATATAATATAAATAATGATTTAAAACTTGTAAATTTGTGTAACATTGTATTGCAGTTTGTATAATATTTCAAACCCTTACTGACCCTTATGTTGCAATGTCTATAATATTTCGTACACTACTACAATGTAGTTTGCGTTGAATCGTATACTTTTTATTCCGCATCATTGGTTTTGTAAATATATATTTTATATAATATAAATAAGGTTTTAAAACTTGCAAATTTATATAAGTTTAAATTGATATATTTATGTAGAACTCTATAGTATGAGTGCTTTGGTAAATCGATATTGAAATGAATATTTACAACAACAAAAAATCCTTTTCACTTTTAATATAAATATTATGCAACTCAAGAAATATCACAAAAACAAAGTTGGTGTAGTGATTTGTGGTTGAGGTTTCCTCCCTTGAGGGCCAAGGTTCAATAAAAGAGACGTCTTCTTATGTGGTGGTTGACTTTAATTGAATTTGTTAAAATATGAAAATAATGGCATGTGAGTAATTTTGGAGTTTTTTTATATTGTATTATTGTTATTTTAGATTATATATTGTTTTGATTGACGATAGGTAATCCACATACTATCCTTGTAGAACATAGAGCTCAATAGACACATGCATGAACGAATTAATCAAACCCAATAACCCTACGGATACCGGGTTATATCACAACTGATGTGGCAACATT